CATTTCTGGAGGAACAGAGGGACTAAATAGAGTAGCAGATGGGCACACAATGGCAGATTCTAAGTGCTACACACTAAAATGATAATCCCAGTCCAAGCTGACTTTCATATTTTTCTATCTGCAAGAATGAATGGCACTCAAATTATTCTTCATTTGACCTATTTAGTGTTGTTATCCCAGGTTACTGACTAGAAACTGCAAAATCCTTACGGGGGGGGGGGGGGGGTCCTCTCCTGGTGACAATCTTTCCACCATTTGATTTTTTTCCCAGCCACAAAAATTATCTCCTTTTTGTTGTAGTCCAAATCCTACTTTTCCTTAAAAACTCAGTTTAAAATCTATTTATCCTACTTAAGCTAGTAACATTTAATGATTGTACCACCTATTTATTTTGAAGCCTAGAATAACTTATGTTGGAATGAGCACAACAATCGTTTATAAATGCAAATATATACAAAAAGCACCAAACTGGGTGCCATCTTATACTCTGGGTTAACCCAGTGGTTGGCAAACCATGGCTCGTAAGCCACAGGCAGCTCTGTGGCCCCTTGAGTGTGGCTCGGCATTAGAACCACTTTTTCAAAATAGACTCGCCCGGGCCGAAAACCGACTTCTGCGCATGGGCCACGAAGTTTCAATCACAGTGTAAGTGCGCGTCTGCACGTGGTATTTTGTGAAAGAGCCACACTGAAGGGGCCAAAGAGCTGCATGTGGCTCGCGAGCCAAGGTTTGCCACCACTGGGTTAACCCATCACATTTCCTACATTTTAGCTGAGGACCACTTAATTTTTTAAATTTACTTATTTTTTTAAATATGTTTTTATTGATTTCAGAGAGGAAAGGAGAGGGAGAGAGATAGAAACTTCAATGATGAGAGAGAATCATGGATGGGCTGTCTCCTGCACGCCCCCCCCCTCCCCAGGGATGGAGCCCACAACCTGGGCATGTGTCCTGACCGGGAGTCGAACTGTGACCTCCTGGTTCATGGGTCGACGCTCAGCCACTGAGCCACGCCAGCTAGACAAGCTGAGGACCACTTAAAACCAGGTTAAGAAATATAAGATTTGCCCTGACCAGTTTGGCTCACTGTTGAGAACTGGGGATGTGCCCACAACCAAGGTACATGCCCTTGATCGGAATTGTGCCTGGGACCTGACGCACTATCCACTGAGCCAAACTGGTTTCGGCAAGATCTTTTCTTGTAAATTGTAATTGAAATATTATCTTTCAAATGAAATCATTTTAATTAAATAGGTATGTGAAAAGTTGCTCCCCTGGATTAGAGTGCAAGTGGTTAAAAAAATAAAAATAGCCGAAACTGGTTTGGCTCAGTGGTAGAGCGTCGGTCTGCGGACTGAGGGGTCCCGGGTTCGATTCCGGTCAAGGGCATGTACGTTGGTTGCGGGCACATCCCTGGAAGGGGGTGTGCAAGAGGCAGCTGGTCGATGTTTCTCTCTCATCGACATTTCTAGCTCTCTCTCTTACTTTCTCACTGTAAAAAATCAATAAAATATATATTAAAAAATAAATAAATAAAAATAGACTATTTCCTGACGTGAAAATTATATGAAATTAAAATTTCATTGTCCATAAATAAAGTTTTATTAGAACACAACAGACATCCATTTGTTTATGTGTTCATAAACAAATATTATACATGAATACATCCATGACTTCTTTTATACAACAACTCACAAAGACTGTATGGCCTGAAAGCTTAAAATATTTACTATCTGGACTTATCAAATTCAAACGAGTCTACTTTATTTCCTGTACACAATTTGAATATAAGGAAAGACTTAGAATATTTAAATATGTAAGATAACATAATAATGAGGCACCAGTTTTGGTCTATCAATAAAAGAATAGTAGGAACTACAAGGCTACCATGAGACAGGCACTTTATTACATTGCTGTTAGGAATGTAAACTGGTTCATCTATTCTGCAAAGGAGATTAGGAACAGGCATCGGGAGTCTCAAAGATCATTTTGATGCACGCTGTAAAGAATTCAACCATAAGAACATAACACAATTTATTCAACCATTTTCCTATTGATAGCTATATACACTGTTCAATATTATTAGGAACAATGGTATACATAACATTTTTATGAATCAACTAATGTTAAATCTATGGGAGTTACATTTTATGAGGAATAAAGTATTTTATATAATCTCTGAGTTCCTAGGATGTAAATCTAAAGATGGGTCACAGGTTAACACATTAAGCGCCCAGCCTGTTTTGTCTTCTGGACGGAAAGTATAGTGTCAGTCACTGGTGACTGGGCGCTTATTGTGTTAGGCACATCTTCAACTTTACTACATATTACCAAAATTGTTCTCTAAAAAACAATTCTATATCAGTGCTTTTCAGGCATATTACTGTTGCCAATCTGATGAAAAAGAATGGCATCTGTTATTTCCAACCTGTATTTCCCTAATTACTAGGAAGATTCAGGATCTTATTTATTGACCATTCATGTTTCTTCTTTTATGAAATGACAGGCCGGATCCTTTGCCTAATTTTCCATGATAACATTTGTCTTCATCTGTTTCTTTGTGTTTTGTTTCATTTAGTAATTTAAAGGCGAATCTTCTATATTCTTTTAAAAGCAAACGTCTTCACAACCACCACGTTTTCCTCCAAGGCTCCTTCCACCTTTTCAACTAGACCCAGTATTATTCCTCTCAAAGATATACTGTAAATTCCTCTTAGGGACACCACTGCCACAAATACACCTTAAGGCTGTAATGATGTCACTCCCCTCCAATAAATTCATATATAGCACAAAAATATCTTAAATTCCATAGCGTGGCTTTCAAAGCCTTCCATAATCTGTCCTTGACCAACATTTTCAGCCTATACCTCCTATATATACTCTGTGCACCAAACAAACTGGACTATTTGCCATCCTGTTAGCTTTCTAATTCTCTGTCCTGAGCTATGCTCTCTAGCACCCATCTGTTTATCAGACATTCTTCTTCAAGGAAAGCTCTTCCTTACAATATAACAAATAAATACAGCAAAGAATTAGAGGTGAATCACCATTTTATGATATATCCAAAGGGTGATAATTTATGAGAAATAAGCTATTTCCAAGTATCCCCCTCCAAATTACTTATTGAAGAAATAAAAACCCTAACCAAGCAATCAAAATTATTACCAATAAGGGGCAAATACCATGTGCCTCCAAATTTGATGCCTTCAGAGAAACGCAAATTGAGAACATTCTATAAAATAACTAGTCTGTATTATTTTAAAATGTCAAAATGTTATTCTAAAATGTTCAATGCAATGAAAGAAAAAAAAAAGAATTGATATATATAAAAAGACAAAGACTAAGGACCTTTTCCAGATTAAAAGAGGTTAAATATAATACTTGATTCTTGACTAAATCCTGAATTGGGGAAAATATAAAGGACATTATTAGGAAAACTAATGAAATTTGAGAATGGACTATAGATTTAGAACATGTGCTTAACTTACTGAATGTGTGCTTAATTTACAGAAATAAAAGAGCTTTTATTCTAAGAATCCACATACACCATATCAAAGGGGTGCACCAATACATACACTTGACAAGGGGAACTGATAGGACAAACATGCTGAAACATAGAGAGCACTTAAAATGAAAATAAATTAATAATGCAGGGAACGTTCATAGAAACTGTCACCACTCACCTTACTTCAAGAACAAACACATGGATTTGGGTCCTCATGTGATTTTTCAATAAAGACTTTGAAGTCTCTACTTTTGACAGAAAACTATTTAACTGCAGAAGTGTTAGTTACCAATAAACAATTTAGATTCTTAGTTTTTACCAAAAATTCTAAAAACACACATTATACTGCCTTTTGAATTTTAAATACATTAATAGCTTTATTTAACGAACATTGAGCAACTACTATGTGCAAAGCACTGTGCTAGGTGCCATGAAAGATACAAAGATGAAAAAGACATAGTTCCTGCCCACAAGAGCATATAATGTAGTGGGAGAAAGACAAGTACACAAACAACTAGAATACAAGACGTAAACAACAGAGTGGGCAAGTGTTGAATATGGCCTGAGTGTGATATTAATTAGCCTCAAGGTTCCAATTTTAAACACTGGTGATATAATGTTGGCTGCTTTGAAAATCCCATTTCAAGACAACATAATAGATGTTTAAATGGTCCTACCCAAGCAGCTGGAGGCAAGAGAGTAGGCCAGGTAGAAGAGCTGTTTGAAAACACTGTCACAACTACATACATGATGCTGATACATGTAGAGACAGCTACAAAAAGAACATATACATACACATACATACATACATAAATACATACATCTGTCCTTTGGTTAATGGCTATAGCTACTATTTTAAATATACTTTTATATAAAAAAGAATTTATATAATCCGAGAAAAATCAATTTAAGTATTAATATTAATTCAACAAAGAATACTGCCATAGGCAATTTTCTTATTTACTAGTTAAGTCTTTTCTCTAAATATCTATAAAGCTCTTTAGCAACTAAACAGACATCTAAATTTTGCTGAATAAAAACCTCTAATGTTCAGCCTTCTGAAGGAAATGGTCACATACCTGATAGCCTGATATAATACTATTCTAATAGCAAAAGAAAGCCTTAAAGATATTTAAGGAAAATAATTTTTAATGCTTCAATGCAAATGGAATACACACTGATTACAGAAAATTCAATGTTCTTTGAAAATAACAACAGCATTTGATACCAGTTAAGGCCAGCAGAATTGAAGAGAGAAAAATATCACATGTATTGTCTTTCATTGGTTTCATATATCATTGCCTATGACTATGGCAACCCAATCTTCTCTGAAAATTCCATCCATTGGTATTAATGGGTTTGATTTGCTTTTAGCCCATATGCTAAAAACAACTGCTGACCACTTCCTCTTGGCAGTGCTGTCTTACAGAAACGGTAAAGTAGAAGCATATTCTATGGCTGCTTTTCCTACTTCCTGAATTGGAGGGTTCGCTGCTTAGCCTGTTCCCTTCAGTGTGTCACTGTGATCCTGGGCCCTCTGCTGCTTTCTCTCAAGGAAACGAGCACGGGCATCTGATATGGATTTATCATCGTTTCTCCTTTGCATTTTCTTTAGGACTTCTTTTGATATTCCATCTGAAAATGTTACAAATTAATCCAGTAAAACTTGAATTTTGAAATTCAGTGCTAGAGAGGTTAAAGAGAAAGAGATGTCCTGATTTTTCAATGTTTAGGTAAAATTAAATTCTGCCCTTTCAAAAAAAAAAATGATATAGTCCATGGCTAAAAAACAAGAGCATGAAGCCAAAGCAGTCAGTAAAACTGACCCTATTCAAGCATTTATACACTACAGTTACACACCGCAACAAAATGTCTAGTGTCTAATGTTACTAAAAAGACTATTCTATCATCTTGGGCAGATTCCTCACCACTTCATTTCTCAGTGATGCTAAATAAGGACAATATAACTTGTTCCATCAATCAGCCTCAGAAAGCTTTACTGAAATGAAAAGCTGCTTGTATGTGTGAACTAAGAATTAAGCTTTCTGTCCTGGTTCAGTAACCTTACTGTTTATGCTGCTCAATTAGGATTCTAACATTTCACGGAAAAATAAAGAAATGTTCTGAGGAAATAACTCACAAAATTTTATAAAGTAAATAAAAATAGTCAAGTACTCCTGGGAAGCAGTATGGCATAATCGCTAAGAGTAAGGACCATAGAATCAGGTTAGTTGATTCAGAATCCAGATTCACCAATTATGAGCCATAGGATTTTTAGCAAACTGTTATACACTACTAAGTACTTCTTCATATATAAAATGGGAATATGTACTAACCTTATAGTTTATTATGAAAATTCCCCAAGCTTTCAGTATAGGATAAAAACTCAATATATATTCTTGTTAACAATGCTTTTGGACAGAGGGGTTAAAAAACAAAAACAAGATTAACTGTAAGGAAAGAAGGAAGTCAAAATAATGAAGTCTGAGACTCATGGTAATTCTTTGCTTTCTGAGTAGAGAGAGCCAGAATCTAAGTCTTATAACAATATTTCTGTGATTACATAAGAATTTGGACATTTATGTTTCCTGGACTATATGACCAAAACAAGTGATATACTCACCCTTTGGCTGTTTTACATTTTCCTTATTTGTCCATCTCCTTCTTGCATCTTCTCTTGTTTCATGTCGGGCCACGCTGCTCAAGTCGTGTGCATTAAGTTCATGCAACTTGGGTAACAAGTCTCTTACCCATTCGTAGCGAATTGGACACACAATTCTTGCATAGACTTTGGTGGTAACTAATACCTCATGAAAAATGATCCATTCAAGTTTTGTTTCCTGTTCGTGAAGCTGTACAAAAGAACTCACTTAGGGATGACAACTCAATAAACTGCTTTACTCCACGTTAGCCCAACCAAATACTATTAGTCCAAACTCTTCTGAATTAATCCCTATATGTTTCAATCAGGATATACAGACAAACTCAATACCTTTACAGCTTTATGTAATACTAGAGGCTTTATGTAAAACTTGTGCATGGGGGGGGGGGGGGTCCCCTCAGTGCAGCCTGGACCTTCTCTGATCCGGGACCCCTTGGGGGATGTGTGACTGCCGATTTCAGCCTAATCCTAGGGATCACGCCAAAACCAGCAGTCGGACATCCCTCTCACAATCGGGGACCGCTGGCTCCTAACTGCTCACCTGCCTGCCTGACCATCTCTAACTGCCGCCCGCCCCCCCCCCCCGCCAGCCTGATCATCCCTAACCACCTCTGCCTGCCAGCCTGATCACCCCTAACTGCCCCCCCACCCCCCGTCTGCCGGCCTGGTTGCCCCTTAGTGCTCCCACTGCCGGCCTGGTCGCCCCTAACTCTCCCCCCCCACCAACCTGGTCTCCCTCGACAGCCCCCCTGCTGGCTTAGTTGCCACTAACTGCCCCCCTACCAGCCTGGTTGCCCCTAACTCCTCCCCTCCTGCTGGCCTGGTCACCCCCAACTGCCTCTCCACCCCCACCAGCCTGGTTGTCCCCAACTGCCCCACCAGCATTGTTGCCCCCTCACTGACCCCCCTGCCGGCCTGGTTGCCCCACGTAGTCTGCTGTTCAGTGGTTTGGTCATCCCTCACTAACCACCCTGCCAGCCTTGGCACTCCACACAGCCTACTGTTCAATTGCTTGTTCAGTTGTTTCAGTAGTGACGGCCCCTGGCTTTTTATATATTAGGACAGTTATATTCTAAACTTAACCTCAAAGCAAAAAGTATAAGACATCTATGTATCAATCCAACTGTGAGCCTGGTTTTTGGCTGAGCGGCACTCCCCCTGTGAGAGTGCACTGATCACCAGGGGACAGCTCCTGCATTGAATATCTGCCCCCTGATGGTCAGTGTGTCATAGTAACCAGTCATTCCACCATTCAGTCGATTTGCATATTAGCTTTTTATTATATAGGATAAGGTACTTACTGCTGAGGAAGGATGAATGTGAACTGGGCTTCCACGCCCATCCATTGTGCAAAATGTTCTCCCAACAGATCTAAAATCAAAACAGAAACAAAAAGAAAGGATAAAGATATTGATAATACAACAAAGACATCAGTAGAGCACTAAATGAATAGTTATATGTTTTGCAATAAAGAGTACCATAAACAGACCTTTAAGTTTATTCAATTGTCACTATTACTTCTCTACCAATTATCTTAAACTATGAATGATATAACTGAAAGAGTCATTTAAGTACAAACACTTTTGGTTAACAAGTAGTAATATTAACAATATTTTACTTGTGCATTTTTTAAATAGATTTTTAATTTATTTCAGAGGGGAAGGGAGAGGGAGTGAGAGACAGAGACATCAGTGATGAGAATCTTTGATTGGCTGCCAGCCTGATCACCCCTAACTGCCCCCCTCCCCCTCCTGGGATCTAGCCTGAAACATACGCATGTGCCAACAGGGTATCAAACTGTTACCCCCCTGGTTCATAGGTCGTCCTCAATCACAGGCCAGACAATAATGTTGTATTTGTGCTTTAGATTGTCCAAAATACTTTCATAATAAAGGCTTAAAACAACCTGAGTTTTGAGAGCCACTTTAAGATGAGATTTCAAAAAAGTTAGCTAGCCTTCTAAAGGTCACAGAGCTAATGTATGATAAAAGCAAGTCCCAATCATAAGTCTTCTGACTTAAACACAGTGTTATTTATATTTTTTAAAGATATAAATTATTTTCAGTTTTCTAAGTTCTGATAATTAGAACATCTCATGAATTTTTCTAATTCATGTTCTTAATTTCAAATTCTTATCCTCTTCTACACTTTCTTACATAAATGTTATTTCAAAAACTTTTCTATGTAACAGCCTAGGTCAATTGTCATTACAATTGATTTCCTATACTACATTATATGTATTCCTATTATAACCCAGATCAGACAGGATTTTAATAGTTTATATATCTGTATAATACAGTGTATATTTATACAGTACAAAAATATTTTTTACTTGAATCATTTTGAGAATTAGTTGCCAACTTTATGCCCCATCATTCCCAAATACCTGAGTTTACATTCCCTATAGCCAAGGACATTCTTTTACATAGTCATAATACATCCAACAAAATCAGGGAATTACCACTAATATATTCCTAACATTTAATCCTCAGCCCCCATCGAAGTTTTATCAAATGTTCTAATAATATCATTTATAGCAAAAGGATCTATCAATAGTTCAGAAATCATGTATTGCTTTTACTTTTAATGTCCCATTAGTCTCCTTCATTCTGGAATACTTCCCCAGCCTTTCTCTGACCTTCATAGTCCTGACACCTTTAAAGATGATAGGCTAGTTATAATCAATGTGTTTGTCTGTTTCAGATGATTATATTCAGGTTATGCATCTTTGGCAGGAATATCACAAAAGTGACATTGTGTTTTCATTCTATCCTATCAGTAAAAACATGATTTTGAATAGTTTCATAAATAATAATGTTCATTTTGATTGTTTGACTTAGGTAGTATCTGCCAGGCTTTTCCAGTGAAAAGTTACGTTTTCCTTTGTAATTAATAAGAATTTTATAGAGAGATGCTGCAAATAATTCCATTTGTCATTAAACTTTTAATTTATTAATTTACTAATTTATATGACTATAGACTGATGACTTCACATTTTATTCAGTGCGTTATATCACCCATTACTTTCATTTATTTTGATGCTTAAAATGTCCCATATGTGATCGATCAGTTGGAGCCTATTCAAGCTGGCTCCTATGTACTTCTGACATGGCCTCAGCCTTCGCTCATCACTTCCTTGCTCCCTGGCAAAATAAGAAGTTTTAGGCTTATCTTGTACTTTCCTAGCCCTATTTCTCCATAGAAGCGTGATTCCTTCATGTAGCAGATGGTTTTTCCAAGTCAAGACCTGGACATTATGGTGCCACTGCTCTCAGTCCATCTCAGAGATAGGGCATATATGTATATAAATATTTACATACATACAAATACATGTTTTATATATATTCACAGTAACATTCATTTTTATTTCCCTATCTATCCATCCATCCAGCTATTTTAAAAACATCAGTTCACAATGATACCCTGAAGTTCCATCCCAACACCTCAGAGCTCATTCTCATTTTCTCGCTTTCAGTACTTCCAACTCATTTCACCATTATTAATCTATTTAACGTGCTCAATTTCTCTGTGTAAAATGAATCTGCCATCACCGACACTGTTATCCTTTCCTTACAAAAACGCCCTCCTCACTCTGATACTGAAAAATTCCCATGTGAGTGCTTTCTCCATCCTGCTCAAGCCCTGGCACTCCACACCAACCTACCCTTAGGGGCACCATCCTCAAACTTCGGCTTTCACACCGCACACAGAGCAATCCCTCTGTAAAAAAAAGCCTGGTCACTCTAAGGCCCTGATACCCATGCTGGACAGCTGTCCTTCAGACTCCCCTACTGCAGCTTTCCCTGCACAAGTCACAATTATGAAAAGGGTCACTGTAATAGATGATCATAATCACAGAGCTCAAATCAAATCATCAACCTTTAATAGTAAATTGTTCAATATTGTAGTAAAATATACTAGCACTTCTTTCCCCATCTCCCAAGCTCATATTGCTTACCTTCGAGCTACATTTATGAAATAGCCTGCACAAAGACATCTTCGTAGTACTTCATGTTTAGGGCCTTCATAGGTCTCTCTTGGAAAATCACTTTGCTATAGAAAGAATATAGAATATATATACGTATGTATGTATACACACACACATACACACACAATGGTAAATCTCACAGAATAATTTAAAATATTCTTTTATTTTGCTGAAGCCGGTTTGGCTTAGTGGTAGAGCATCGGTCTGCGGACTGAAAGGTCCCAGGTTTGATTCCAGGCAAAGGCATGTACATTGGTTGCGGGCACATCCCCGGTAGGGGGTGTGCAAGAGGCAGCTGGTCAATGTTTCTCTCTCTCTCATCGATGTTTCTAGCTCTCTATCTCTCTCCCGTCCTCTCTGTAAAAAATCAATAAAATATATTTAAAAAACAAATAAATAAAATATTCTTTTGTTTTGAAAAATCCACATTTCTAAAAATTATTTTTCTGGCCAATATAGAGTAAGAGGGACCAGATTTACCCTTCTGCTTGAAACAACCTAAATATGGACTTTCAAAATACTATACATATACCAAGTGATAAAAAATAATGATCTTAGAAATAAAGGAAGAGTTCCAAAAAAGATGAACCCAAATAGGCCCACACCAAGAAACATCATAATTAAAATGGCAAAGGTTAAAGACAAAGAGAGAATCTTAAAAGCAGCAAGAGAAAGTCAGTTACCTACAAGGGAGCTCCCATAAGACTGACAGTTAATTTCTCAACAGAAACATTTCAGGCCAGAAGGGACTGACATGAAATATTCAAAGTGATGAATTTTTCCCAACAAGGCTATCATTTAAAATTGAAGGATGAAGAGCTTCCCAGACCAAAAAGCAAACCAACCAACAAAGCAAAGCTGAAAGAATTCCCTACCGCCAAACCAGCATCAGAAGAAATGTTAAAAGGCTCTGGTTGGGTGGCTTGGTTGGAGCATTGTCCCATACGCTACAAGGTTGCAAATTTTATTCCCAGTCAGAACACATACTTAGGTTTTGAGATTGATCCCAGGTTGGGGTATATACAGGAGGCAACTGATTGATGGTTCTCTCTCACATTAAGGTTTCTCTCTCTAAAAATCAATTAAAATACACACACACACACACACACACACACACACACACACACATATCCTTGGGTGAAGATTAAAAAAAAATGTTTAAGAATAAAATGGCAATAAATACGTACCTACCAATAATCACTTTAATTAAATGTAAATGGCTTAAATGCTCCAATCAAAGGACATAGGGTAGCTGAATGAATAAGAAAACAAGACCTACATATATGCTATCTACAAGAGACCCACCTCAGAACAAAATATACACAGAGTAAAAGTAAAAGGATGGTAAAAGATAATTCTTGTGAATGAAAATGAAAAAAACCAACTGGAATAGCAATACTTAATATGTGACAAAATAGATTGTAAAACGAAGGCTATAGTAAGAGACAAAAGGATAGTTCATAATGATAAAGGGAGCAATATAACAAGATATAATTTTAGTAACCAATGTCAACCCAATAAAACATTAAAAATAAAATAAAGGGAAATAAATGAAGTAAACCCAACAACCACCCCAGCATAGTCCACCTTGAAAGAGATTCTGGATCAAGGTGCAGAGAAGGAAAAACCCAAGTGGAATCCTGAAACTCCCTTAGTTAAAGAGACAGAGCTAAGAATACAGGAAGACCAAAATGACTGAGTTCCCGGCAGAGCTCAGGAGAGGAGAGACCTCTATAGAGAACTCCAGAGGTCTGAGTTCAGCTGATTACTGATTAGCACATGAATGTGAGGAAACTGACAAAGGCTGGTAAAGGACCTTCTAGAAGGAGAAGAGGTTACAATGCTTGGTGCTCACACAGGGTTAGGAATGGTGGGTTATTACAAGCCAGACTAAAACATCTCATAATTTATATGGTTTTGGTAACTCCGAGGGTCCTGTCCAAATGGTACTCAGGACAAAAGCAATCACCTGTTTAAGCTTCCTGACTAGGTCTCGAAGTTGAGCCTCAACACGAAATGCAGAAAATAAGCATCTCCAATGAATCCAATGTTTTTGGCACCAGGAAGCTGGAGCTCCACTGAAAAACAAAAATAATGATATCTTAAAAATATATTCTATAAGTGAAAGACAGTCTAACATCCTCATTTGTATTACAAAACTATAAACTCAAAAGCAACTGTCAGCTCTTTAACGAGATCTATCCAATAACTGTAAAAGCACTTTAGCCCTAGCCAGTTTGGCTCAGTGGATAGAGCATCGGCCTGTGGACTGAAGGGTCCTGGGTTCAATTCTGGTCAAGGGCATGTACCTTGGCTGTAGGCTCAATCCCCAGTGTGGGCTGTGCAGGAAGCAGCCAATCGATGATGTTCCTCTCTCATCAATGTTTCTATCTCTCCCCCTCTCTCCCACCATCTTTTCCTAAAAAAAAAAAAGAAAAAGAAAAAAGGGAAAGAAAAAGCATTTTAAGGAATTTGGAAAAAAAAAATTTAAATGTGGGTACCTCTGTGTGAATTAAAAATTATTTGTAAGTGGATATTTTATACACATATGCTTTAACAAACAGCCAATCATTTTCTCATCTAAGGTACCTATATAGAACCAAAATTCTTTAAGGTCATTTTCAGGAAAGGTTCAGGGAAAGAAAGAAAAACACTAATCCTATATAATAAAAGGGTAATATGCAAATTGACCCTAATGGCAGAATGACTGGTTGCTTATGACGCGCACTGATCAGGGGGAGATACTCAATGCAGGAGCTAACTCCTGGCGGTCAGTGTGCTTCCACAGGGGGAGCACCATCAGCCAAAAGCCAGCTCATGGCTGGCCAGTGCAGCGGTGGTGGCGCAAGCCTCTCCTGCCTCTGCAACAGCGCTAAGGATGTCCGACCTAATGGCTGAGGCCCGCTCCCGAGGGCTCCTGGGCTGACTGTCAGAGGGATGGCTGACTGCCAGCTTAGGCCCACTAAGCCAGCAGGTGGACATCCCCTGAGGGATCCCAGACAGTGAGAGGGGGTAGGCCGGGCTGAGGGATTCCCCCAAGTGCCTGGGCCACTAGTTGTATAATAAATGTAACAGTCACCTGACAGAAGAATCTCACTAATATTCACAAAAATACCTGAAGGTCAATATCATCCTGACCAAACCTTAACTGTCTAAAGTCATATAGTAATACATATTGGAGCTAAATTTCAAACTGACAATTTCCGGTACAGACAACTCACATACCTTGATTTGCACTGCTCAAAAATGACCGCTAAAGTTGCAAAGTCATTAAATCCTCCAGCTTTAGCTGCCAATTCTCGATGTCTCTGTTCTGCTTCCTTCTGGTACTCTGGATCAACTAAAAGGCAGTTGCAGAAACAATTTAGTTCTACTTTATATCAAGTGTCCACATTCACTTTGTTTATTCAAGCTCATTAAAATCTGTTTCACCCTCTGGGGTGGAGTAAGGTAGAACTATATTACCTTTTAAAGGGGCTCTAACTACTCCCACAACTCCTTTTTCTCTTTTAACCACACCCCAGAGATGTTATCAGATATAGCAACATTACTTCTCCCAATCCATTTGCCTCTAAAATAGTATTTAGAGAGAGGATCCAAGATGGCTGCTCGGGTAGACATCTAGCCGCGGCAGCACACAACAATTTCAATGGAATACAACTAAAATGTAGAGTGGACATTGCCCAGAGCTACAGGTAGTCGACTGACTGAAATTTCTACAACAAGAAGGAAAGAGAAAACCAGAAAGAAAATCAGAGGAGCTGAAAAAAAGCCTAAGGTACGGAGACATGCTGCGCGCGCGTCTGCCCGCACGCACGCTTGGAGAGGTCGCAGCCAGAGAGGAGGAGAGGGCGGGGAGCTGCCTTTCCTTCCCTAGCAGGAAGGAAATAAAACCCCCAGCCTGGGCTGAACCCCCGAACCGGCAGCGCTGAACCCACCCGAACCCAGCAGCGCTGAGCCCCAGTTATGGGCCAGACCCTGGGGACCCAGGCTCCCGTGGGAGGAGACCGGGCTGTGAGGCAGAAAAACGGCGAAAAGCAGGGCCCCAGGAGTCGCGCGCAATGCGCACAGAGGACTGAATGTTGACTCTGATGCTGGGTTACCCTAGCCGGAAGAAACGGGGCCTCCGGCTGCGCTGGGCCTCAGTCCGGACTGCTCCGAACCCCAGTTCTGGGCTAATCCCTGGGGACCCAGGCTCAGGCAGAGGGAGACGGGGCTGTGAGGTGGAGTCTGGGGAGAGCGCGAAAGGCCTGGCCCCCGGGACTCGCGCAAACTGCGCGCAGAGGACAGTCTGTGGGACTCGTGCAAACTGCACGCAGAGGACAGTCTGTTGACTCTGATGCTGGATTTCTCTAGCGGGAAGGAGAAAAAAAAAAGCTCTAGGCTGGGGGAACACGGAGGGGAGCGGAAGCCCCTGCCGGACTCCAGCCAACCGGGCACCAGCAAGGAGGCGGGCCACGGGACCGCTGGGGGCGTGGGTGCCCCTGAGCCTTTGACCACTGAGCTCGGGCAATGGAGCCAAGGCCGGGGGCTGCTTCCTGGGCGGCGCCGTCCCCAGCAACAGGCTGAAGCAGCGCAGGAGTCCGCGGAGAACAAAGGGGTGCCACAGGCCAACCTGCTGAGCTCCCAGGACAAGGAGGAAGAAACCAAAGAAGTTCTCAATGTGAAGAAATCAAGTGAGAGCAAAAAATAGTAAAATTACTTAAGAAAGAATACAAAGAAGATCTTGAAAAATCAAAGACTAAGTCAGAACTCAACTCACCAGCCAACATTGCAACATAAATGTGTTTTAAAAAGAAAAAAGGAAAAAAAAGGACAGAATGTTGGAACAGCGGTGGCCAGGCCTAGAGTGGCCAGGCACAAGGCAGTGGCAGCCAGACCCGGAGCAGCAACGGCCAGGCACCAGAACAACAGCAGCCAGAACCAGAGCATCAACAGCCAGCACTGGAGTAGCCAGACCTGGGGCAGTGGCAGTCAGGCATGAGGCGGAGGCGGCCAAGCCCAGGGTGGCCAGTCCAGGAACACCCAGACCCGGAGTGGCCGGGCCCGGAGAAGCCGGGCCCAGAGCAGCCGGGGTGGGAGCAGCCAGACCCAGAACAGCAGTAGCCAAGCCCAGAGCATCCAGGTCGGGAGTGGCCAGGCTCGGAGCAGCCGGGCCCGGGACAGCCGGGCCCAGAGCAGCCGGGTCAGGTGCGGCCAGGCCCGGAGCAGCGGCTGCCAGGCTGGGAGCGGCCAGGCCCGGGGGAGCAGCCGGGTTGGGTGCGGCCAGGCCCGGAGCAGCGGCTGCCAGGCTGGGAGCGGCCAGGCCCGGGGGAGCAGCCGGGTCGGGTGCGGCCAGGCCCGGAGCAGCGGCTGCCAGGCTGGGAGCGGCCAGGCCCGCGGGAGCAGGCGGGGCTGGTGCGGCCAGGCCCGGAGCAGCGGCTGCCAGGCTGGGAGCGGCCAGGCCCGGGGGAGCAGGCGGGGCTGGTGCGGCCAGGCCCGGAGCAGCGGCTGCCAGGCTGGGAGCGGCCAGGCCCGGGGGAGCAGGCGGGGCTGGTGCGGCCAGGCCCGGAGCAGCGGCTGCCAGGCTGGGAGCGGCCAGGCCCGCGGGAGCAGGCGGGGCTGGTGCGGCCAGGCCCGGAGCAGCGGCTGCCAGGCTGGGAGCGGCCAGGCCCGGGGGAGCAGGCGGGGCTGGTGCGGCCAGGCCCGGAGCAGCGGCTGCCAGGCTGGGAGCGGCCAGGCCCGGGGGAGCAGGCGGGGCTGGTGCGGCCAGGCCCGGAGCAGCGGCTGCCAGGCTGGGAGCGGCTAGGCCCGGGGGAGCAGGTGGGGCTGGTGCGGCCAGGCCCGGAGCAGCGGCTGCCAGGCTGGGAGCGGTCAGGCTCGGGGGAGCAGGCGGGTTGGGTGCGGCCAGGCCCGGAGCAGCGGCTGCCAGGTGGGAGCGGCCAGGCCCGGAGCAGCAGCAGCCAAGTCCAGAGCAACTAGGTCGGGAGCGGCAGTGACCAGACCCGGAGCAGCTGGTTGTGGAATGAACCAGAGCAACAGAGGCCAGGCCCTGAGCAGCCAGGCCCAGAACAGCTCGCTCCTTGCCTGCCCCTGCCCCACGGCTGCCTCTCTGACATGGCTGGAAACTTTCGTGGGAACTTGAGGGTCTGCTGAATCAAGTGATGAAGGCTTAGATCTGGATGTGTTGAGTTAGTTTAGGACTGGGGTGTTGATCTGTGAGTGCCTTGGGTGGGGCCTGGATGAGGCTGGTGGACCTATTGGGAAATGTCTTTTGTGTGAAGTGTATCATTGGGCATGTGGAGGTATTATTGATATGAGAAAATGCTAAGTAACTGATTTACTATCTGAAAAGGGATTTACTATTGGGGAAATTGAGGGAAGAAGAGACTGAACATAAACTGCACCTATGGATGAGGACAATGGGGGATGGGGGGGGGACGGAGGGTGGGGTGGGAACCTGGTGGAGGGGGGAAGAAATGAGGAACCTTTGTAATAATATGAACAATAAAGATTGATTTAAAAAAAAAAAATAAAATAAAAAATAAAATAAAATAAAATAGTATTTAATACATGTATTCATTTTTTAATTCACTTTTATCATGAGCAACCCATGCTCACAGTAAAAGAAAAATTACATAAAATTTCAATGTTCTCTATTTTGTCACATTAGCCACAAATCAATCCTCAAGGCTAACCACTGTTAATTATTTAATGTGTGTCCTTCAAGATATTTTCTATGCATATACAAGGATATGCATTTAGTGATTTAACATAAATAGGATACATGTTCAGAACCTTCCTTTATTTAATAACAGCTTCATGTCAGTACAGATGGAATTACTCATTCTCAAAAATAGCCACCTTGTATTCCCCAGGAAGATAAGAAACATAACAAAATTTAACCAGTCCTTATTCAATTCACAATTATAGACAATTGGACAGAAAGGGCAAATATGCAGAACTAAACTACTACAAACTTTTTACTTTTCTTTTTAAACTTCATATTGAGGTATGACAGGCATTCAGAAACTACATAGGTCATAAGTGTACAGCTCAATGAATGTTCACAAACATGCCATACTATGACCAACACACAGAATCACCAACACCCCATAAGCCCACTTTTTGTCCTTTTTTCTAATAACAACCTGCACCCCTCCACAAAGGTCCTGACTTCTAACCCCAAAGAAGGGTTTGGCCTGTTTTTAAACTTTGTATAAATATACTTTATGTGTCTTGCTTCTTTTGAGACTTATCTGTTATTGACTGACTGGATCGTACTCAGGACTGATGTGATCTCTCACTGCCCAAGTTCCCCACATAACACTTCACCCAAGCTAATTTTCCTTCAGGGTTCAATTTTCCAAATTTCCCAAGGATTCTTCCTTTACTGAACTGCATCACACCACAATTCCTATTCCTTCAGCACACCCATCACACTGCTTTTACTAGAGACACCATGTTGCCTGGTTCTAGGAAGCAGCACTTGTATAGACTACACTATGAATCTCCATAGCAGCAGCTCCTGGTATTAGGAGGAAAGCAATCTGACTAAAGAAAATGCTCAGGAAGATGTAAAGTCTTCCAACCCTGCCCTGGCCAGTGTTCTCAGTGGTTAGTGCACTGGCCTACATACCAAAGGGTCTCAAGTTGGATCACCTGTCAGGGCACATGCAGGAGGCAACCAATTGATGTATCTCTCTCCTCTCTCTCATTCTCTCTCTCTCTCTTCCTATCTCTATTTCCCACATCCCTCCTCTTTTCCACTCTCTCTAAAAATCAATGGAAAAATATCCTCAGGTTAGGATTAACAACAACAAAATATATATATATGTATATAAATAAAGTCTTCCATCCCAGGCTTTATGTAGCTTCCACCTGTTACCTAGGTAGCAACTGAAGAAAGCAGCTAGAGACAACAGGAGAGAAGATATAGTAAAGTTAGAGTCCGTATCACACAGTTTGTACAGTCTCAGCAAGTTTATCCTTCTACTACATAAAAATTTGACTATCCGTCTTTAATTACTTAACCAGCAGACTTGTCATTTTCTTTATTTTTTTCCCCTCAGAATTCTGTTATCAGTTTTATTTCGTGCAAATAGGTGGTGCTATTGAGGCAGAAATTATAAATAAAAAGCTAAAGCAGCAAAACAAGACTATATCAGCAAAATCCCCTTTGGAAAGATAATGCAATATGTTTCTATATAGCTATAAATCATAAAACAAAACTATTACACAGAAAGGGTTTCAACATCAGTCCTCAGAGATGAAGTGGGGAAATAAGGCTATAAGTATCACATACAAATAAAGAACCCTTTATTTCTAAAAATATCACTAAAAATAAAAACTTTAAAACCAAATCCTTTAAGTCCTTTTTCTGGCCTTACAAGACGATGTTATTTTAAATTTGTTCTATTTTAAGGCTAAGTTGTTTACCACCTAAAACCTATTCACACCACCTAAAAGCCACTCTCTCCATTGTCTGATTTCTAAAGCAATATATATAACAGCAGACAATGTAATACAGCAAAAAGAAAGGTTATTAAAAATGTTGACAATATCATTTTGATGTTTAAAATTTTTATTCAATGTTAGATCTAAGAAACTAGCCAGGTATGTAATAAATTAAATTAGGCCAAGGTGCAGTGTCGGCCTCCCACACGAAGCCAGGCAGGCAGCATTCTCTCCCCGCGCCGGCCTCGCAGACCAGCTACTGTGCGAACCCACAGGAAGCCCAGCCTGCCCCTGTGGTCCCAGCGGCTGTGGCCCGGCTCACTGCATGGGTGCAGGGCAGGCTCCTCACAGGCACCCAGCACCTGAGCATGGGGCTTACACAGTGTGCGAGTCCTGTTATCCCCAGGGAGGTTAGCAGGGGGAAAGTGAGCTCGGGACACACCGCACCTCTATCCCTGTCATCCTCGCCCCCAGGTAGCCAGCAAGAGGTTGCAGTGTGTGGCTGAAATCTGCCATATTCCTTGTCGCCCCCTGGTGGTCAGCACACGTATTAGTGAGCAGTCAAACTCCCAGTAGAGGGGAGAAATTGCATATTAGGCTTTTATTATAGGATATTCCAACAAGGAAAAACATTTCCTTTCTCTGGCCTTACAAGACTATTAGAATTGGATCACTTTAACCCAGCTCCTGGTTTTACAAATGAAATCTGTGACCCCACCGCGAGAAAGCGAAGCTGAAATGGGACATACTAAGCTGTATCCCATGACGACACACCAAGAAAAGAAAAAAGCAGAAGTTTAAAGACACGAAAACCTCAAAACAATCCTCTGAGGGTACAAGGGCTAAACTACCTTTTCTTTTGATGCTTGGGGGGAAAAGGTTAATATATTACGAATGTACTATACAACAGGGCAAAGGTTCACCATACTATCTTCCCCTACCAGTGAAAGGAAATTAACTCTCCCCACCAGGAACATCACATGCTCCCTATTTTAAACAACTAAGTTAAAGGATAACAAAATGAAAAAACCGTTTGTCCTCAGTTTCATGTCCGACAGGGCTAGGCATATGCAATCAAAGAATGGTCAGTGAGCCCAGCCAATGGGGCTCAGTGGCTGAGCGTGACTCATGCACCAAGAAGTCTTTGGTTCAACTCTGGTCGGAGCACGTGCCTGGGTTGCAGACACATTCCCCAGTAGGGGGAGTTCAGGAGGTAGCCAATCAATGTTCCTCTGTCATTGATGTTTCTATCTCTCTCTCTCTCCGTCTCCCTTCCCCTCTCCCTAAAATCAATAAAAGCATTTTTTCAGTGTCAGTAAACACACAATAAAGAGATGATGTATTATAGAACTGTACATTTGAAACATAATTTTTATTAACCAAAGTCACCCCTATAAATGCAATATAAAATTTTAAATAATAATAAAAATAAATAAATAAATGCTCTGAAATACTGGAGACCTAAATGGAGAAATATTCCATTTACCTATTTAGGGAGACAATACTGTCAAGATGTCAGCTATTTCCAATTTGATCTATAGATTCAATACATCCCAATTAAAGTCCTAACAAGTTATTTTGTGAATATTAACAACCTTAAAGTTTATATACAAAGGGAAAAGACTCATAATAGCTAAAATAGGGAAATAGTAAAGTCAGAAACTGACCCACACACATACAATAAAATGATCTTTAGCAAAGGAGCAGAAGCGTTTCAAGGGACAAAAGACAGTCTTTTGAAGAAATGGAGCTGGGACAAATGGACATCCAACACCCGGAAGATAATATAGGAGAAAATCTAGATGACCTTAGGTATGGTGATGACTTTTTAGATAAAACACAAAAGGCATAACGCATGTAAGAAATAATTGGTCAGCTGAATATCATTAATATTAAAAAAAAAAAAAAAAGTCTGCTCTGCAAAAGATAATATCAAGAAAACAAGATGACAAGCCACAGACTGGGAGACATATTTGTAAAAAACATATTTGATAAAGTACGGTTACCCAAAATATACAAATATAAAACTCAACAATAAGAGGCACCTGGCCAGCTCGCTCAGTGAGTTAGAGTGTCAGCCTGACACAACAAGGTTGTGTGTTTGATCCCTGGTCAGGGCACATACATGAATCAACCAATGAACACACAGATAAGTGAAACAACAAATCAATGTTTTCTTTCTCTCCCTCTTCTTTCTCTCTCTAAAATCAATAAATAAACATTTTTTAAAGCCTCAACAATAAGAGAACAACCAACCCAATGTAAAAAGACCAGAACAGACACCAAAGAAAACTATACATGGCAAATCCTATATAATAATCCTATATAATAAAGAGTAATATGCAAATAGACCGAATGGCAGAACAACCAATCAACGCATAATATGCTGATATGCTAAAGCTGCTCAACTGCTCGTTATGATGTGCACTGACCACCAGGGGGCAGCCAAATGGTCGACCAGTCGCTATGATGTGCCCTGACCACCAGGGGGCAGATGCTATGACCAGTAGGTTAGCTTGCTGCTGGGGTCTGGCTGAGTGGGACTGAGCGAGATGGGCCGGACATACCCTGGAGCCCTCCCACAGTCTCTCCCCAGCTCAATCATGCACTGGTGGGCTCCCTCAGCCTGGCCTGTGCCCTCTTTTCAATCCGGGACCCCTTGGGGGATGTTGGAGAGCCGGTTTCAGCCCTATCCCACAGGACACTCCCTTTGGGAGGGCGCCAGACGCAGGGCTCATGGCTGGTGAGCGCTGCTGCAGCAGTGCAAGCCTCTCCTAATCAGGACTGATTGGGTGCGAGCCGCGGCAAGTAGGAGTTGCAGGCTACATTGGACTACGGGTTTCAGCCCGATCCCTGCAGGCCACTCAGAGGAATTGCACCCATGCACGAATTCGTGCACTGGGCCTCTAGTAAGCATTTACAAAGATGGTTAACATCATGTCACCAGGGGGCAACAAATTAAAACAACAGTTTTACCACTATACACCTATTAAGATCACTAAGAAGACCAAATCCGAAATACCCATATCATTAAATATTGGTGAAGTTGTAGAACAGGAATTCTCAGACTCACTGCTGGTAGGAATGCAAACTAGTGCAGACCTTTAGCAGGTCTGGAAAACAGTTTGGCAGTTGCTTACAAATCTAAACATATTCTTATACTATTCAGCAATGAATTGAAAACCTATGTCTATACAAAAACCTGCCCATAGATGTTTATAGCAGTTTTACTCATAATTGAAAGCACCCAAGATGCTATGCAATAGATAAATGGATAAACAAATTCCATGCAATGGAATAATATTCAACAATTAAAAAAAAAAAAAGAGCTCTCATGCCACAAAAAGACATGGAGAAACCTTAAATGTACATTGCTAAGTTAAAGAAGCCAAGTTAAGGACAGTAAAAACATTCATGGTTTAAGGAGTTTGGGGAAGGAATGTAGGGATGAATAGGTGAAGCACAGGAAATGCCTAGGGCAATGAAACTATTCTGTATAATACTGTAATGGTGGGTGGGTGTCATTACAGATTTGCCAAAACACACAGACCACACAGCACAGTGATCCCTTTAATTAATAATAATATATCAATATTAGCTCATCAATTGTAACAAATGCACCAGCATAATGAAAGATGTTAGTAACAGGAGAAACTGTGTGTATATCTGTATTTTCCTTAAATTTTTCTATAAACCTAAAACTGTTCTAAAAAAGAAAGTCTATTAATTTTTCTTTTATTTTTAGAGAAAAGGAGAAGAGAAGGAAGGAGAACAAAGGAAGGAGGGAGGAAAGGAGAAAGGGAGGGAGGGGCATTGATTTGCTGTTTCACTTATTTATGCATTAATTGGTCAATTCTTATATGTGCCTTGACTAGGGATCAAACTTTGGTGTATTGGAACAACACTCTAACCAACTGAGCTACTCAGCCAGGGTTAAAATTATTAATTAAAAGTAAACCTTTTCGCCAAAACTGGTTTGGCTCAATGAATAAAGCGTAGGCTTGGGGACTGAAGGGTCCCAGGTTCGATTCCGGTCAAGGGCATGTACCTTGGTTGCGGGCACATCCCCAGTAGGGGGTGTGCAAGAGGCAGCTGATCGATGACTCTCTCATTGATGTTTCTCTCTCTCTCTCTCTCTTCCTCTCTGTACAAAATCAATAAAATAAAAAATAAAAATAAAATAAACTTCTTACCAGGTCTAATGAAGATATTTTCCACAGACAACATTGCTGCTATTGGAAGTAGTAGATCTTCACAGTCCAGAGAAGCAGCCTTTATTACAGCACATGTCAGATGTGGAGGGAGAGGAAATTCTACCATAGACAAACCCAATCTGGTCACATAGCCATTCCTTAATAGAAAAAAAAAGTTCTTATGTCTTTCTACCTTGGAGAGTACAAATGAAATGCTCATCATTCAGAATAAATCAGATATACGGTAATTTAGATTACTTTCAATCACCCCCATAAATTCAATTCAATTTAAGAAACATGATACACTGTAGTCATAGGTAAGAAAAACATCAAGATAATAAACACCTTGCTGTCAAGGGCCAGTACATTAAAAATCCTGAACAATGAGGCAGCATAAAGTAGAGTAATAAAAGACACAAAATGCTGTGGAAGCAGAGGATGTCCGTGAAGTAATGGAAGTAATGAAAGAGTGATAATTACCAAATCCTTCCCCATCACACAATCATGAGAACAAGGACTCTGGTTCTCTTATCATTTTGATATATCCAGCATAATGCCTGGCACTGAAATAGTATTCAGAAACTACTTGTTAAATAAGTACCAATGCTGAACAAAATTCGTTTTACGGTATAATTTGTAATGTCAGAATTGTGAAAAAAGGTTGAGGACAATTTCTAATTTCAGGTAAAAGAATCCACTCAATTCAAACAAATTATTTTATACCTATAAGGAAAGTATTAAGAACCCTATTTTAAAAAGAAATTAACATATGTTGTGGTCGGGTTTGGGGGGAGGGGTTTTGTTTGGTTGTCTTTTTACCTGTCAATAGCGTCACACTGATAAAGTTGTTTAAGGGCTTCCAAAATAAGTCTCTCATTAGGTGGATCCAAATAAGGAAACCTGTGTGTTTACATGAAATATAAAATGAGATCCCATTTCTTGAACACAATAAGATTTTATACAGACTTGAAACTTCCTTTAAAAGATCTTAGCTCTCCTAGTATTTTTTCAAATATTCTTTCTCCTTTTTCTTTTTTAAGGCATTCTACGATCATGATCAGCATTCAGCACAAGAGGAAATAAGTTTTTCTGAATCATAGTCTTTTGTTAATTCAAGAAGCACCTCTTTTTGATCTCCTTAGCTGGAACACTCTTGCCATTCCTCTTTACTTATCTGAATCCTGCCCCATTCTTCACAGCCCAATGTCAACTTTATTCTGTTCTGTAGTCCATATTGTATTACAAACTTATAAAACAATGGAGAAAAATTCATTGAAAGTGGCCAAAAAATTACAAAATATTTAATAGTACTTCAAAATAGCTTTTGATAAAAAGGCAAGAATATTCAATTAATTTTACCATATTTGCTTTATGTATCTGTATGTACCAATTACTTAATTTCTCCTAAACTCTTAAGGCAAGTTGCAAATACAATGCTTATTCATCCCCAAAATACTCAGCATGCATCCCCTGAAAGTAAGGACATTCTCTTATATAAACACAATACCATTAATAAACATAGGAGAATTAATAATATTCACAAAGGATAATAGTGGCATATAACCAAGTATGAATATATATATATGTGTGTGTGTGTACATACTTTTAAACATGAGCAATAGTTACTTGATTATACTAATCTTGTTTCTCCAATGTAACTTAAGCTTAGTGAAAGCAAAAATTATTACCATTCCTCAAAATGCATAGTACACAAAGCTGGCTCTACCAAAGATGTACAAAAACCCCTATCATTTTATCTGGGATTATGATCATTATATACATTTCATAACAGGTAAACAGTGGTCACTAAATGACCTAAATATCAGCATGAGACACACCATTAAACCAAGGTTAAAATATGAGCAAGGACCTGCCTGGCATGGCTCAATGGTTGAATGTTGAGCTATATATATACAAGGAGGTTATGGTTTGATTCCAGTTAGAGCACATGCCTGGGTTGCACGTTCAATCCCCAGTAGGTGGTGTGCAGAAGGCAGCCAATCAATGATTCTCATCATTGATGTTTCTATCTCTTGCTCCCTCTCCCATCCTATGTGAAATCAATTAAAATAAATTTGAAAACAAATATGAGCAAGAGGTCAAATTCTAGTAAAGCATCATAAAGAAACCTTTTGTATGGGTTTACTTGAACCTTGAGATACGGGATATCTGAGCCAACTACTTCAAAAGAATTTGAGAAATAACCAGGCTCCACTCCAACACATTTTCCTTTTTTAAAAAGTTGTCTACATACCTTATAACATCATGTATGGCAAGGCACTTTAAGGTCAGAACTACAGATGTCAAACTAGTTCTCTTAATCTCAGGGATCACATGGTCGGGCATACACTGGTTCCAAAAATCTTTACTATAGATCCGAAAGCATTTTCCTGAGGCAGTCCTACCAGCTCGACCACTTCGCTGTAATGCCTCACTCCTTTAGAAGAAAGAAAAACAAAAGTCCCCAAAATGTTCAGCATGGAGAAACCTGAAGAGTATTATGCTAAGCAAAATAAGCCAGTCAGTGAAAGACCACTATCACATGATCTTACTCAGGTGGAATCTAATGAACAAAATAAACTGATGAACAAAATAGATCCAGAGATATAGAAACAGGGAACAGATTCAATTCTCAGAGGGAAAGTGGAGGTGGGTGGGTGGGAAGAGATCAATTAAAGAACTTATATGCGAGCCGAAACGGGTTTGGCTCAATGGATAGAGCGTCGGCTTGGGGACTGAAGGGTCCCAGGTTCGATTCCGGCCAAGGGCATGTACCTTGGTTGCGGGCATATCCCCAGTAGGGGGTGTGCAAGAGGCAGCTGATCGATGACTCTCTCTCATCGATGTTTCTAACTATCTCTCTCCCTTCCTCTCTGTACAGAATCAATAAAATATATTTTTTTAAAAACAAAGAACTTGTATGCGTATGGACATAGACAACAGGGTGGTGAAGGCCAGGTGTGGGGGGTAGGGGCAAGCTACAAGGAGACAACGAAGGAAAGATGGGGGACACATGTAATACTTTCAACAATAAAGATTAAAAAAAAATGCTCTGTGTTTCCCAAGCAATTCACCTCCCACCCTGAACCAACTAGAAATGATCTGATCCACTGTTCTTTGAACAAAAAGGCATGACATAGTGACTTACTTTGAAATTGGAACCACCTCCAGGATGTCCAGTCCTAGTCTGGGATTGTGATTTAACTGCTTCACAAAGCCACCATCTACCACATATCTAAGAAAAATGAAAACAAGTTAACTTTCTGGAAAATAAGGAAAGAGTTGTTAACTTTCAACCACTATGGCTTCTCTTTTTCCACCAAACTAACAACTACATGTTGACTTTAATGTTAACTGTAAAACTTGGAAGTCAAGAAATCGGAACTTCATACTTTCCTGCTGGAAATGTAAAATGGTTCAGCCAATGTAATGTGGAAAAAGGTTTGAAGGTTCCTCAAAATGTTAATCACAGAATTACCATATGACCCAGAAATCCATTCCTAAGTAAGCACCCCAAAGAACTGAAAACGGGACTCAAAACATCATTGTAGATGTTCACAGCAGCACTATTTGTAAGAACCAAAAGGTAGAAACAACCTAACTGTCCATGGCCCATTAAGAGATGAATAGATGCATAAATTATGGTATATATATATATATATATATATATATATATATATATATATATATATATATATATTTTTTTTTTTTTTTTAAGTACAGGGTTTTATTTTGTGGTGATAAAACTAGACAGAGTTGCCCTAGCTGGCTTGCCTCAGTGGATAGAGTGTTGGCCTGTATAATGAAAGGTCCTGGGTTCAATTCCAGTCAAGGGCACATGCCCCGGTTTGGGCTCGATCCCAGTGGGAGGCATGCAGCAGGCAACCAATCAATGATTCTCTTTCATCATTGATCAGCTGATCAATGATTCTCTCTTGTCATTGATGTTTCTATCTCTCCCTTCCTCTCTGAAATCAATAATATAATAATTTTCAAAAATATATAATAAAATATATATTTTTTAAAACTATATAGTTGATAGTTGCACAATGTTGTAAATGTACTAAATACTACTTAATTGTTCAGTGTTAAATGTTAATTTTATGTTATACAAATTTGAGCCCAGCTGCTGTGTTTTAGTGGTTAGCATCAACCCATGAACCAGAAGCACATGTGGGCTCGATATGCATGAGGCAGCTTGATCAATGATTCTCTCTCATCATTGATGCTTCTATTTCTCTCTCCCTCTCCCTTCCTCCCTGAAATAAAAAATATTCTTAAGAAAAGAGTGAACAGAAATATTATATGCACTTTCTACTCCATTTCCCTATTTATTGCTATCAGTAATTACAAAAATGATAGGTGACTACAAGTTAAGCAGGTGAGAAGGGACTTAGTGGAGGGCACAGAGAAGCAAACTCAACGTTTTATGATTAGCTAAGTGGCTTTCTTGGCTTTAAAAGCATTTTTTAAAGTTGTACCTGATTCCATCTATTGTCAAAGATGTTGCAGAAATATTAGTGGATATGACACATTTTCTAATTCCAGGTGGTGGTGGCAAAAATATTCTCCTCTGTTGATCTAAAACATATGTAAAAGGAAAATACTAACTTATAACATGCATTTGTCAAATTCAAGTTTTGAAAAAGTAACTTCTTTGCATTAAAAGTTATATTCTTTACCTCTTTAATTATCTTGAATTCAAAATACAATAGCAAAACTGTTTTTCCTCACCTTTCACTGTTAATGTTTCTAGATCCATGAACTCAGTTTATTATTGCTAAAATAAACCCTACACCAGACACCTTTATGTAGGTCATAGCTCCCTTTAAGAATATTTTAAAACAGTGTACCTCTTCTCTATTAAAAGACACTTATGTATTGTATACACACACAAAATTCAAACAATTCCCATCCAAGGGCTATTGATTAAGGACCTGATTAAGGACCTCTCTCTGCCTTAAAGATTGATTAGCTAATTAGTTTTTAGTTTTTCAGTGTCTATCCAATTCATGACTACCTCTCTAAAAAGTAACAGCCACACATTCCGAAGGGTGGGCCCCAGCAGCAATGCTTATCGAATGGTACTTGCTCTGACTTATGGCACCAAGGATAAACATCTCCCCAAGTTGGGCCAATCTGATTCTCCTATGAAGGTGGAAGAAGGTCTGAGAGACGCTCAGTTTGATTAGGTTAGTCTCTTGCAAAGAGGAAAAATAAACTTGCCATAGGAAAATCACTAATGAAAGTCAAGGAGAGAAATCTAGTCTAAAGAGAGATACAAATGCAACAGACTTGAGAGATGACAAGAGAGTATTTTTGAGTTCCTTACGAGGCCTGGGTGTAAATTAAACAGAAAGATGGATTTGGCCTTTAAGAATAAAAATTAAAATTTTCAGGCAATCAGACAGAAAAAGCAAATCACTTACAAGGAAGTAATTTGTAAACCAGGCTGGCCTCAGACACCTCCATAGCAATATTCAATGCCAGTAGACAACTGGACAACGTCTACCAATTTCTAAGGAAAAGAAAGTATGATCCAAGAACATAAAACCCAGCAAAGACGTATTTCAAGTATAAAGGCAAAAGCTGGACATTCTCAAACATAAAAGAGTAACAAAAAATAGTATTCAAGCCCAGCTGGCATGGCTCAGTGGTTGAGCACTGAACTATGAACCAGGAGGTCACAGTTCAATTCCCAGTCAGAGCACATGCTCAGGTTGTGGGCTCGATCCCCAGTGTGGGGTGTGCAGAAGGCAGCCAATTAATGATTCTCTCTCATCACTGATGTTTCTATACCTCTCCTTCTCCCTTCCTCTCTGAAATAAATAAAAATAATTATTAAAAAATAATAATACTCAAAAAAATTAACAAAAGTAAGCCAATCTAAAGCTAACCAAAAGTAATGTAGGAATGAAAAAAAAAAACCACCACAGTTTTAAAAAATTGATGGTAAACACTAAATACATCTGAATAATATAATAAAAAAAAATTACAAGAGAATATAGAAGAGTAAAAGTATTTAAGTACTCGTCAGATAAGTAAACAGATCAATCAAGTACATTCTAAAAGAAGATATTAACTTCAACTTAGTATTTTTCATCTTGCTAAACTTTAAAGCAAACTTTTATAAAATATTACCTCATGTGGTAAAGAATAACTTGAAGTTTAATAATTTCTTCAAGTAAATTCAAGTAAAATTATATATATTTTTTAAAAATAGTGCCCTGGCAGAGAAGCTTAGTTAGTAAAAACATCCTCCCAATATGCCACAGCTACAGGTTTGATCCCTAGTCAGGGCACATACAAGAATCAACCAATGAATGTGTAAATAAGTGGAACAACAAATCAATCTTTCCCTTCCTCTCTCTATAAAAAAATCAATACATAGCCCTAGCTGGTTTGGCTCAGTGAATAGAGCGTCAGCCTGCGGACTGAAGGGTCCTGGGTTCGATTCCAGTCAAGGGCACATGCCCAGGTTTCGCGCTTCATCCCCAGAAGTGGGTGTGCAGGAGGCAGCCAATCAATGATTCTCTTTCATCATTGATGTTTTGATCTCTCTCCCTCTCCCTTACTCTCCCTGAAATCAATAAAAATATATTTTAAAAAAAGAACATTTACTTTATATGAAAAAATGTAGTTAATGGTTAATAATAAAGCAACCATATTGTTTTTAATTACCTTATCAATTTCAAAGCAAATTTTAAGTCATTAGATCAAATCCCCAGAAAACAACAAGTATCTTAAATATGTAATAATGACCTTAAGAATTCCCTTTTAAGATGTAAAAATCTATAAGTAGATTTCAATATCGAGAGCAAGGGGCTAATATCATCACAAAAGAAATATCCATAATAGCATGTGGTCTATGGTTATTTACCAACACACATATTCCTGAACTTTTTTTATTAATATGAGAATCGCCTACTCAATAAAAACAAAAATACACATTAAAAAAAAAGTAAATGTTTTTTACACTATGATACTAGTAATGCTAATCCAAATCAAACTCCAAGCAGTTAAAATTAATTTCCCTTTAGTTTTATAAATCAAATCTCTAATAAAAGTTTTACACAAACACTCTAAACCTCATTTAACAACATTTATCATGAACAAGTATCAGAATAAGAGTTTGCATATGCTCTTTGAATTTACATCATTCTTGAAAAGTAGGTTAATATGTGAATACTTAAAAAATCCAGTGTGGCCCTGGCCAGGTAGCTCAGTTAGTTAGAGCATTCTCACCAAGGTTGCTGGTCTGATCCCTGGTCACGGCACTTACAAGAATCAACCAATGAAGGAATGAATAAGTGGAACAACAAATCAATGTTTCTCTCTCTCTAAAAAAAGAGTAAAAATAAAAAATAAAAACTCCCACTGTGTTTAGTCTCAGATATTAATATATATGGATAAGATTTGTAGAAGCTCTGTGGCAGTGGCGAATAAGGCTTGACTTATGGTACTACTATCAAGAAATGATAGTCCTTATTTTGAAAAATTATCAACAATATTTTTGTTCCAGTGGGAGAAGACGTAGGTCACTCTTTTTTCTTTTATAAATATATTTTATTGATTTTTTACAGAAAGGAAGGGAGAGAGATAGAGAGCTAGAAACGTCGATGAGAGAGAAACATCGACCAGCTGCCTCTTGCACACCCCCTACTAGGGATGTGCCTGCAATCAACGCACATGCCCTTGACTGGAATCGAACCTGGGACCCTTCAGTCTGCAGACCGACGCTCTACCACTGAGCCAAACCAGCTTTGGCACGTAGGTCACTCTTAATAATGCTTAGGGGCATGTGGAAGACCCATGGAAAACACTTCAAGAAAAAAATCACTTCTCTGAAGGGATGCTGGTTCTCTTAATGATCTGTTTCATGTTCTGGCTGTTAAAGTTACAAAGGTGAGTACATTTGTGAAATTCATTGACCTAAAAATAAACATTTAGGATTTGCGTGTGTACTATTATGCACATATGTGATTTTTCAATAAAATGTTTTTTTAAAAATCAGTCAAATGTTCTATGCTACTGAGGAATTACCTGTTGTCATAGATCCATAGCATGGCAATATTAATAAGCCATCTAGAGTGGTATCTTGAACATCATAATCATAATCAACAGACTCTGCCATCTGAAAAAGTAATTCACAACTTTTTTCTATTTCAAATTGACCTGAAACGAGGGGAGAAAACACCATCAGCAACTGAATAGTAAAATTAATTTAAGAGTGAAAAAAGGCCTTCTAAATTAAAATCAGTTTTGTATAATAGTTACTTTAAATTTCTCATTTGATCTAAAGGAGATGAACACGTAAATTATACCAAATCTCAACAGTAAAATAGAAAATAGAAGAAACACCAGTTTCCAAGGAATTTAAGTTTCTAAAGAAATAAAAATGTTTATAATCTTCTAGCCTTTCATGTTATTTAACATGTTTTTTGAGCTTCCTCAGTAAGGTTAATCATTAACATAAAGGATTCTAGTCCAGGAGATACTGCATTTAGATGTGTTTTAAAATACTTAAGAGATCTTAAAATAGCAAAGTGATGATTGCAATGTCTCACTTCTAACATCAGTACAAGGCAAAGTAGGAGGAGAGTGATGAAATGACTCATTTCCGTTAATTAGGGTGCTATTACTTGAAGAATCACATTAATCTGGGAATTTTGTCTTACAAAAAAGGCTCATCTATGAGACATGGATTCCACACTTTATATACTGCTATCAAATAGTATCACCCAGCCACTCAAAGGAGAAAGGAGCTGGTAGGATATCTTTTGAAATAATGAAATTAATCATTCAGATTCAGGACTGTTTAGTGTGGTAATACTTCTATATGAGATAAACTAATAAAAATATTAATACCTTACCATTTAATATCTTTCTACTAAAAAATCAGTGTTTTTTACATGTTCACTATTGAGACTGGCATTTTTAATGGCAGTGTAGAATTGTCTTACAGAAGATATAAAACCTATAACCCATAAAAAGCTGCAGTAACATGAGCAGTACCCAGATTTCCCAGCAAAGATAGCACTTTATTGTGGTGCCATGTGCTCTCTCATAAACAGTAATCTTAAACCTGATACTGAATGCTCACCAGTCAGAAAAACCAAGATGTCGCCAGCCATTTCATTCAAATGGATATCCATGGTCACTTTCACAATCTAAAACAAGAAACACAAGCATAACATGCCAGTGGAAATACAGCTCTCTACCCCCACCTTCCCTTGTTCCACAGAAAAATTAAATTTGGTTCTCAAAAGTCTTAGGAGAGCCCAGCAGAATAATAGGGAACTGCCTGGCCAGATGGCTCGGTTGGTTGGAGCATTGTCCCATGCACCAAAAGATTGGGGGTTCAATTCCCAGTCAGGAGCCAGGTGTTTCCCTCTCACATCTATGTTGCTCTCTCTCTTGATTTCCCTCTCTCTAAAAATCAATAAAAAATAATAATAGTCTAGCCAGCATGGCTCAGTGGTTAAGCACTGTCCTATGAACCAGGAAATCATGGTTCAATTCCTGGTGAGGGCACATGCCCAGGTTGCAGGCTCCATCCTCAGTGTGGGGTGTGCAGAAGGCAGCTGATTAATGATTCTCTCATCAATGACATTTCTATCTCTCTCCCTTCCTCTCTGAAGTCAATAAAAATATGTAAATTTTAAAAAATGATAATGGGGAATAAATATATTATAAAACTATACAATCAACTAGAATCACAGATATAAAAAAGATGTAAAGTAATACCGCTTGAATATATGCAGTATTTTCTTTGTCTCGTGGGCCGATCAAATTGCAGAATTTTTCTCTGACTGGGTAAAGCCTTCCAGGTATATCAAATATTGGACAATTTCCAAAGAATGCAGAGAGCTTGGCTAATTCCATAGTTGCTGACATCACCACGACCTTTAAATGCTCCTTCCTGCTAGGAGATTTCTCCTGAAATAGCTTCTTCAATAAACCAAACAAGATGTCCTGAAAGAAAAGTAAATTTCTAATAAGTCACAAGTATACATAACAACCTCTTTTTAAACATTTTGTTTTCCTAAACAAAGAATCCCTATTTCAATCGTTTAAAATATAAGATGTAATCCTTTATACAGTAAAAAGCTACCCCAAAGTAAACTGCCTAACAGATAACCAATATATTAAAATACTCACTGTAGTTAGAGTTCTCTCATGGGCTTCATCCAAAATAATGACACTGAATTTGGTAAGATTTGGATCTCCCAGAATATGTTTCAATAAACATCCATCAGTCATATATTTGATTGCTGTTTCCTATTGTTTAAAACACAAAGTTTTAAGCACGGCTAGGAATTAACAGTAGTGATATACATAAAACAATGGAAGGGAAAAGAAAGACAGCAGCAGTGGCTACTAGGAAGGCAAAGACAGTATTTTAGAGTCACTCTGTGCCATAACTGATGACCATTCCCATTAGGAACCATATGTAAGTCAGGATTTATTTTGTATCTGGTATGAAATTAAGGAATCCCAAGAGAATGTAAATTGTAACTATTAACTATTAAAAAGAAAAAATTTTAAACTTGTTAGTGCCATGAATATAGAAGATGCTCAGTACAAAATACTTTCTGACTTTGTTAATTTAGTTGTCAGTTTTTCATTGACTTCAAGAATACAAGCATACAACATGGATGAACCTTAAAAACATTAGGCCAAATGAAATAAGCCAAACACAAAGAACAAAATATTGTATGATTCCATCTTTGAGATAGGCAAATGCATAGAAACAGAAAGTAAAATAGTAGTTACCAGGGGCTGGGAAAAAGAGGGGATAAGGGTTACTATTAATAGATACAGAGTTTCTACTGGGACAATGACTAAGTTTTGAAAAATGATGATGGTGACACATTGTGAAAGTACTTAATGCCAGTGAATGGCACACCTAAAAATGTTTAAGATGGTAAATTTTAATGTTATATATATTTTACAATAAAACATTTTTAAAGAATACAAACTTAAGTTACATGTAGGATCCTTGCAGCTAAAAAATAAAATAAAATAAGAGAATTTGTAAGAAAAAGAAACATGCCCTAGCAGGTTAGTCTCAGGGGATAGAGTGTCAGCCTGCCGACTGAAGGGTCCCAGGTTTGATTCTGGTCAAGGGCACATGCGAGTTTTGTGGGTTCAATCCCCAATAGGGGACATGCAGAAAGCAGCTGATCAATGATTCTCTCTCATCACTGATGTTTCTATCTCTCTCTCCCTTCCTCTCTGAAATCAATAAAAATATATTTAGAAAAAAGAAACTGTCACTTAGAAACCAATTGAGAACGGAGAAAATGGGTAAATAGCATTAACTATAGGCAACAAAAATTAATCCTAATCTGAGATTTTGTTTCATTAAAAATATAAGTAGAATTTCAAAGTTAAAATTTTTCATAATTTTCTTCACTCTTTCCATAAATTTACAGTACTTAAATACCAACAAAACTTTTGTACCTTAGAGCTGCAGTCATCAAAACGAACTTGGTATCCTACTTTGGATCCCAAAGTGCATTTCATTTCTTCAGCAACCCTCTGAGCAACTGATATGGCAGCTACTTTTCGTGGTTGAGTCACACCGATCATTCCATGTTGTGAAAACCCTATCAAAACCAGAGTAAAAAACGCAATAATGTCAACAGTTGCTACTTATTAGAGCTAAATTGTTTCTGGTCAATCAATATAAACTATTCAAGTATTTTCAAAACTCTGCAAAGTAATAACATATTATAGTATTACATTTGTGTCACAGAAATTTATTAAAAATAAGAGTACGCCTTAACCAGTTTGGCTCAGTGGATAGAGCCTCAGTCTGCGGACTGAGGGGTCCCAGATTTGATTCCCACCAAGCGCACATGCCTGGGTTGAGGGCTTGATCCCCAGTAGGAGGTGTGCAAAAGGCAACCAATCAGTGATTCTCTCTCATCATTGATGTTTCTCTCTCTCTCTCTCCCTCTCCCTTCCTCTCTAAAAAAATCAATAAAATATATATTTTTAAAAAATACCTTTGAAAAGGAAATGCATCTGACAATTGATGAGTTTTCCTCCATTAATAGTTATTAGTAAAAAAATAGTGGTCTTAAAGGCATCTTAGGTAATGCATAAGAGTAAGTTAATATATAAACTAAGAAGTTTTTATTTGTTTATATGAATAATATCCGATATAATTTTGTTCTTTAACTTTTGCTAGGAAGTTTTAGCATAATAAAGTGAAAGACACTTAAAGGGTAATTTGTTAGCTGGTGTTAGCACAGTCAGGAAATAAATACCTGATAATGCTCTGGAGAAATAACCAAGAAATATAAGAAATACTAATGTCAGCAACAGGTATTAATATATCCCTCTCCCCAAAAATGATTTCAATACCCAATGGTTAATAGTCTACTGTAAGACCACCTTATTCTATAGCAGAGAATCCGTATATACCTATAATTTTACTTAGGATTATTATGGTAATTAAAAATGGAAAAGTTGCCATCTCAACTAATCTCTGAATCTGAAATAAAACCATAGAGAAGTAGGGAAGATGTAGGGACAGAACAAGAGAAGAATTGGGTCTGTAAAACCAATAGTGGGCATTTGTGGTGTAGAGGATTTTTAAAAATATATTTTCATTGATTTCAGAGAGGAAGGGAGGAGAAAAGATAGAAGCATCGATGATGAGAAAGGATCACTGATCGGCTGCTTCCTGCCTGCCCCCTACTGGAGATGGAGCCCACAACCTGGGCATATGCCCTTGATTGAAATCAAGCCCAGGACCCTACAGTCTGCAAGCCAATGCTCTATCCACTGAGCCAAATCGGCCTGGGCAAGAGGGTATTTTTTTTAAAACTCCCCAAATTATCCCAGAATATCATTACCTGCTTCATATAGATATTTTGGAAGTTGGGTTGTTTTACCACTTCCTGTATTTCCAGTAACAATAAGGAACGAATTGTCCCTCACAGCTTGAATAAGCTTTTTTCTTTGTGTTTGAATAGGAAAAGTTGGAGTAGTTCCTCCCTCCTGTGATGTGCATCCTTTGTCTTCTGTAATGAGAGAAAAAAAACAACTGTGCAATTAAAAGGCCCGTAAAGATATCTTTGACTCAATTTTCCAGAACTGAAGAGAAAAAAAAATAAATAAAATTTGCGGGTTGGAAAACATTAACCAATGACTTATCAATTAAATCATGTAAGTCTAATTTGTAAGTGAAGGTTTACAAGCCCAGAACAACTTTTTAGCTAAATCTAACAAGTTGAGCATTTGCTAATGCGTGACTCAAAGTTAGCCTAGTACCAGGCAACGTATATGCAAGTATACCTGTACAAAACCCAACTTTATTAAACAATAGCTCAAACACTGGAACCCAGCTGAAAACTGTCAGCTGAATTAAGAGCCACCTGTGTCTGCTTCTGATTCACAGTTCAAGTTAGGTCCCTGCTCAGAGTGACATATCCCAGAAGGCCAAGTGGTGGGTAACCATGGAAACTGGCTCCTAGAAACCGGCTCCCTCTCTATACAGTACCTAAAGGCAGGTTGGCAACCCGACGAAGGCGGGGGGGGGGGGGGGGGGTTAGGTGGGTAGAGAGCAAAGGCTTTATGCGTCTGGGCTTCGGGGTTCACTTTTTTGGCCCCCAGAGGGTTTCCACTCAACTTGGGTCTGGGGCCGCCCCCCTCCAGACCAAAGTGCTCCCATTGGACGCAAAGTTCGCTTCCGGCTTGGAGGGCGAGCAGCAGGCCGCGGCCTCCCGCCCACTCCTCCCTGCCGGCCCCAGGCAGACTTTTATGGCCCCCCAAACTCCCAGCCGTAACTCTCGCTGGCCAGGGCAGCGTCCCGGGAACCGCACCTCTGTCCGCGCCGGAGACAGCCGAAGGCCGCTCTTCCTGGGGGTCTCTGGGCCGCTCTCCCTCCTCTTGCCGCCTTGGCGCCCTGCCCGCGACGGTGGGAAGCCGGGACATAGACCTGGCCCCGAGCGGAGCGGAGCGGAGCACGTCCACCGAGGCGGGAGACGGGAGACCGGAGGGGAAGGCGCAGGCGCACGCTGATGACGTAGCAGTGTTTACTTCCGCGCGTGCGACTGGGAGCACCTCGATGACGTGTCGCGAGAGGCGGGGAAGCTCCTCCCCGCGGCCGCGTGGTCCCCGCCGCCTGCCGGTGTGCGCTGCTCCTTGGGCGCGAAGCCATCCATCCCCAAGGGCTGCTGGGCCTCCTCCTGCCCTCTTGTGCGCAGAGGAGCCGGCGACACCCTCTTCCCAGGCCCGGCGGCCACGGCGCCCTCTGCCCTCACGTCCCTGCCGCGATGCGGCCCTTTGCCGGGGGCTGGGGCCTTCCTAGCTTTTGGCGCTCCGCCATCCATTCGCGCCTAGCTCGTCCCCAAATAAGCAGAGCTTCAAGTTTCGTTGTGTCCAAAACTTAGGTCCCCTACGCTGTTCATTTCCTTCATAAAATGCATTTGAGTGTATTCATACGTTTCTTTTCTTCCCTTTCCTCCAAGTAGACACGAGGGATTTCAGAAAACCATAGTACACGCAGAGCCCAGCAAAGCCATTCAAAGTGGATAGACCATATTTGTTGGATGTGCTGGATGGGTGAATGAATGATTGGTATCCAGAGGAATTAAGCTCACTCTCAATTCGGTGTGGATTCCTTAGGAACCACAAGATCTGAAGAGTTAGACAGAGATAGGATTACTTTTCAGCAAAGGTACTTGGGGAAGATCTTTTCTGTTACAAAACTTTCCAATTTTGTAAATAGTGTCAATGTCACAAAATCATCACAAGAAGATTGTTTCTTGGGCTTGTCAACTGTTTCTGCTGTTAGAATTAACCAACACAGACCAGCTGGGTGGCTCAGAGATTGAGCCTCGACCTATGAACCAGGAGGTCATGGTGCCCATAACCAGTCAGGGAATGTACCCGGGTTGTGGGCTGGATCCAGTTAGAAATTCAAAGTATTACAATTCAGAAAAAAAAAAAAAAAAAAAGCAAAAAATACATTTGTAACATTTGTAGTACAAGCAAGGTATTGGTAAGTTCAAGGCAAAGTATTTCCATACAGGGCAACTATATTAGTGACATAGTAAAGTTACTTTTTTAAGAAAATGAGCAGAATCATATCAGACCAATGATAGTTACCATTTATTGAGCACTTAGTAGTCAAACATTGAATGTACATTTTTCATTTATTCCTTACAAAGAACCAGAAAGGTAGGTTGTTCCTAATTTACACATATGAAAATCAAGGCTCACATACATGTCCAAGACAACAAAACAAAAAGGTAACAGGACCAGGATTCAAACCACACTAATAACCACTTTAATATAATGGAGTTATCTAAATCTTGATGCCTAACGTAGTATTTTATTCCAATGTTTGTTAATAAACTATTACAGAATAACTATTCTTATTTGAGAACCACCTAATAAGTATCCAGAATAAAACCTGTAAACCAAGAATGAAGAAAAGTAAACATAAAAACCGTAAACGTTATTTAACATTGATTTTAAAAGCAAGGGCAATTATGTTACCATTAATAACCATTTGTTCCAGGCTATTTCAAACTGAAAGATCAACAATTATTTCCTGCCCAAGGAGCTTACAAATTACAAAGGCAAACAAGAAACAAATATAGAGTGAAAATAGAAAATATATGGGTTTAATATGAGAAGAAAGGTCAGCCCAACAACCAACATTGAATCTATTTCCTGTTTTCTTTGGGTAGTAACAAAAACCTGAAATTATATTTAAAGAAGTGTAAGAAATATGAATTTCACCCTGCTGCTACTGCTTTATAATGTCTTTCAAAATGATCTTGAGTCGAAGTAATCTGTTTCTTTTCCTTTTTTAAAATATTGTATTTCAGGGGTCCCGATATAAAGATTTCAGTTAGTTTCATAGGACCAGTAAGCCACCAAGCAGTCATTTCATTCATTAATGACATAATTTGAGAGTTTAGTAAACATTGAGACAATTCTACCATTGTTAATGAAAATTCATGCTTTACAGATATGCATATGATCTTAAATAAATATGTGGGATTCCCATCATTCTATTAGTAAAATAAGGCCTCTTTCAAATGAGGGTTCAACAATTACTCTAACTTCCTATTCATTCATTCATTTAATGATTCATTTATTCATTCATGTATTCTTTCAGTATTAGAATGAACAACTCTTATATGTACCCCTTTTAATAGCCATACAGAGACATAAAAATGTGAGTAAGAAATGATCCCTACCTCCCATGGCATTACATATATTCAAGGAGATAAAATATTTAGAAGAGGAAAAACTAGAGGGATCAGGGAAATCTTTTTGGAGTTAGTGGATTTTGAACTGGGTTTTGAAAGTTGGGAAAATTCCAAAAAAAAATGTCAGGGAAAAATTCTGGACCGAGGAAATCTCACAAAAGCATGAGATGAAGATACTGTTAAGTATGGATTATGGGGAAATCTGCAAAATTAATGTTCTATCTCTGGTAATGGTCTCTGTAAATCTCTCATTTGCCTGAAGGTGGCAAGCTGGGTTTATTTGAGAAACTTCAGCACCAACATTATCTGAAAGAAAAAGGAAAGTATTGCTTCTCTGGGGAAAAACACACACACACACACACACACACACACACACACACACAAACTTTCATTGACATTTATCTCATAAAATCAGAAAGTGGAAAAGATTAAAAATTACTAACACAATCACTTAAATAATGTGCATATTTAGTACTACTTATTTTAAGGCACGTAAATTTTATATTAAAATATTTTTTATTTTAATAATTATTTTATTGTCCTTATTGAATTCTGTTACAATGTTTTCTTTAGAGAAAAAGGAGAATATATTTTTATTATTAAAATCTGTTATAAGCATTGTTTATAAGTTTAGTGGGGGTGTTTAGGTTTACTGAGGAGTAACTTCCAAATAGTAATTTTAGTAGATAGTTGTGAGTTTTATGGATTTTTTAAAAATATATATATATTATTGATTTTATACAGAGAGGAAGAGAGAGGGATAGAGAAGCTAGAAACATCGATGAGAGAGAATCATCGATCAGCTGCCTCCTGCACACACCCCCACTGGGGATGTGCCCGCAACCAAGGTACATGCCCTTGACCGAAATCGAACCCGGGACCTTTTAGTCTGCAGGCTGACGCTCTATCCACTGAGCCAAACTGGTTTCAGTGAATTTTATGAATTTTGACAAGTGTATGTGCTTTATAATCATCACTATTATAAAGATATAAAAGTTTTATCACTCTCACAAAGTCCCTTATGCTGCCTTGTGGGGAAGCCCTTCCTTCACTTCCAGGCCCTGACGAACACTGAGCTGTTTTCTGTCTGTACAGTTTGACCTCTTCCGAAATGTCATATGAGTGGAATCATATACTATATACTCTTTTTTGGTCTGGTTTCCTTCATTCAGCATGGTTTCTTTGAGATTCATCTATATTTTAATATAATTGTAATATCAATTATTTAACCCTTTTTATTACTGAATAATATCCCATTATATGAATGTACCACAATTTATCAATTCCTTAGCTGAAGGACATTTATGTTGTTTTGAGTTTTTGGTGATTATGAATAAAGTCACTATAAATATTCACACACAGGGTTTTAGGTGATTATACATTTTTCATTTCTCTAGAAATAGAATTGCTGGCTTGACTGATAAATGTATGTTTATAAGAAACTGCCAAACTGTTTTTCCAGAGACTGGACCATGTTGCACTTCGACCAGCCACGTAAGAGAACTCCAGTGGCTCCACACCCTTGCTAAAACTTGGTGTTGTCTGTTTGTCTAACTCTTTTCATTAGGAAGTGGCGGGTATGTAATTACAATTTTAATTTGCATACACCTGTGACACTGGCATTAAACATCTTTTTAGGAATTTATTTGCCGTCCACATATCTTTGGTGAAGTATCCTTTCAAATCTTTTGACAACTTGTGCATGGGAGAGAAGGGATTTTATTTTCTTACTAGTATTATTGAGTTTTGAGAGTTCCTTATACATTCTGGATTAAAGTCCTTTATCAGATACAAGCTTTGCTAATATTTTTGCCTCGTCTATAGCTTGTCTTTTAATTTTCTTAATCATGTCTTTCAAAGAGAAGAAATCCTTAATTTTGATGAAGTCCAAATCATCAGTGTTTTTCCTTTGGATTGTGCTTTTGCCTAATCCAAGGTCACAGAGATGTTCTGTGGAGGCAGTCTCTTTGTGAGGACACTGTTAGGGTGCAAGAAAGCTATATATATAATACCTTAATATGCAAATAGACCAAACAGCAGAACAACCGAACCATCAGGGGGCACATGCGGAACATGGTGGATGTTGGCAGCAGGGAGCAGAGCGCAGAAGATGGTGGGCATCGACTGTGGTGGGATGGTGGAGCAGGTAAGTAAGCCCGCTAGACCATGACAAGGCATCAGTCATTGTCATCAGGGTGAGCTTCTGGTAGTTACTGAAAATTCTTTGCTTTCATGCACTGTGATCTCACCGGGCACATGAACCTGCTGCCAGTGCCAGAACTGCTGCTCAAATCTGCTGCTAGCACCCAGCGCAGGCCCTGATTGCTTGGCGCTGTCAGTGGGTGCGAGTGGTGGCTGCTGGCCCCAATCTCCCCTGAGGGCTTCTCTACCTCCCCCTGCTCCTGAGGTGCGATCAGGGCAGCAGCTGCCTCTCATACCTGCTATTGGTGCAGGCCCCAGTGGGTGCAAGTGGGGCCGGCACCACCAGCATATGGGAGCAGAAGTTGTGGGAGCAGAGATGCAGGCAGACAGGGGACCTAGGGATGCAGCTGGAGAGGCTGGCCAGGCAGGGGTGCAGAGCATGGGCTGCCACCTGCCCCTGTGCCCACCATAGTTCTTTTCAAAGGGCACAAATTTGTGCACTGGGCTCCTAGTTTCCATAGAACAGACATCCCCTACTAAAGATGAGCTCACAATAACAAAATAATGACATGTTCCATGAGGAAATAAGCCATCATGAGAAAGATCAGGAACCCCAACAAACAGGAAAACTGGACCCCAAGAACTAAAAATATCAAGGAAATTTAAATGGGGCCATTAGTGCAACTTAAATTAAAAAGATAATAGAAACCACAATGAAACAAGAAAGCATTATGAAAGCAGATTTTCTTAAATAATAAAATTAAACATTTTAAAATAAAAACATACATCCACTGAAATTAAAAACTTGAAATAGTTTAAACAAATCAAGAAAAAAATCAATCCAGTATTTTCTTTGTATATTGGAATTATATACGGTGGTACATGTTTGACCTCACTTTGCAAATTTTTATAAGATTATTATTTTCGGGTTGCTTTTTCTGCTGGTGTTAATACCTTTCTAAAGTCATATGTTTTACCTCTTTTGAAATTAACTGTAGTCCCCATTGTATTGACCAGGGAGGCTCAAAATGCAAATACCACTTTTGTTTATTCCGGAATTGGCAGATGTAAAACATGAAGCATGGGCCAGTTAGGGGAAGGATAGACTGTTCTTGTAGTCACAAGAAAATGCACCCCTGGCTGTTACGTCTTGCTTTTAAATTTGTTCCTTTTCTCTGGTCTAAAGAATTAGGACCACAGGTAGCCACGTGCACCCCAACCACTGTTTCTCACCACTGTGACCATTCCTCTGGGAAACACGAAACATTTCATAGGCCGGTCCCAGTACCTAATAACAAAAGGAAAACCCATGGCAGATCAGGATAATGACTTTGCCTTCCTGTAATGATGGGGGGGAGGGGGGGGACCAGCAAAACCTGATCCTGCATAATAATCTCTTTGTTATTCACATTTCCTCATGAATTTTAATGTCCCATCCATTTTCTCACAACTTACCCCCACAATTCTGTGGGAGCCTTTGCAGAACATTATTCTCTTATCTATCTTTCTTTCTTTCAAGGGTGTAATTATTCAATCTAAACCAAAAGGCTTTATTTAGGATGTTGCCTTTTTTTACTGTATTGGTCAAAAGAGCTGGTCTAGGTCCACGTTAAATAATCTAGAAAGATCAAGCTGGGCCTTATGATTTTTGCACTGTTTCCTATAGGTATGTTACTAAATGTTAACGTTTACTTTGTAATAATTACCTGGAACATCAAGCAATCATAAAATTGCGCCTTTTAAAAGAAATCATAATCAGTTGCATTCGCGAAGGTACACGATTTTGTTCCGTGTTCTAGAAGTTAGGGAAGCGATTGCAATATATCTTCTTCCTATTCCTCTTGAAAGGCATAATCATATTGAAATTCAGTCTTGCCCCGCCACCACCCACCTGCTTCCCTGTTGTTCCCTGTTCACCTGTGGGCGTGGGTGGGGGTTGGGGGAGAGGAGGGACCAAGAGGTGGTCAGTGCAGCTCATGGTGGCTGGTCGAACAGTCGTTCCGGTCGTTACACTAATGGTCCCTGACCTCTTATTATATAGGATCACCTCAAGAAAGCTGATTAAAGAAAGGATCTTATAATATCATGGTTTCCTTACAGGAAATAACTAATAACAAATGCTGCTAACAAATAACTAGCACATTTTTTTTTTTTACATAATCAAATAACATGGTTTTCAATTAACCTTGAAAATTCCTAATTTCTTGATGGATGACCATCAATTTATTAAATACTACCATATGTTTGGTCCTATAATAGTTGAGGTATGTTCTTTTTAAAATTCCCGCACCATTAAGTACTGTCTATAAGAATTTTGATTCCTACATGCTATACACTGAGGCTCAGAAAGATTAGGCAAACTTGTCCAAAACCAGATTACTTAAAAAAAAATCAGTGCATGCATGAATATAATTTCAACGAGGCTAAAATAAATATACATTTGTGGTTTAGGAATTTCAAAGGGTCAGATAAGTTGGTCCAAAAAGTACCGATGGCAATACAAAATAAAACATTTAGTGCTTACTCAGTGGCAGGCACTGTGCTAGATAATTTGGGGGAATGTAATGCTGAACTATATAGACTTTGCTGTCCAAGTGTATACCATATTGCATGGGGTGCATCAGTAAATAGCAATGATACAAAGCAAAGCGTGGGGCTGGAACAAGGTTAGAGACCATAGAAGGAGGAGGAAGTAGCTTCAACTTGCACCGAGCTGATTAACTTAAAAGATACAACCAGCCACCAAGAGGAGTGTGGAGAGGGTCAGGCTAGATGATTTTTCGATCACTAAAGAAAAACACTTTTTTCCTCCCCTCGGCCTACTTATGTGTTCTGAGTTCAAAGCTAATCTCACAACCTACGAGTGTGCCTAGGGTTAAGGGTTTGATTCCCAGTCAAGGGCACATCCTCAGCCTCGGTTGGGGCCCATGCAGGAGGGAACCAATTGATGTATATCTCTCATACTGATGTTTCTCTCTCTCTCTCTCTCTCTCTCTCTCTCTCTCTCTCTCTCTCTCTCTCTCTCTCTCTCTCTCCCCCCCCCCAAAAAAAAAAAAATCAATTGAAAAAAAATATCCTCGAGTGAGGACTAACACTTAGACACACACAAATCACGTTGAGAAGTTTGCATTCTAGGGCAATCCCAAGTGAAACGAGGAGGAGTAATGAAAAAATAAGTAGATATCTATGATGAGCATCAGGGCTAAGGCCTCTGCTCCAGCGGGGCTGGGGTACCGAGAGCCCAGACCGCCTCCAGGGGAGGCCTCCTGATTGTGACATCACACACATCCCCTTGGCGATGGCGCTGAAGACCGGGAAGGAAGACTTCCCATGGAGAATCGCCAACAAGATCGGTTCCTGGAAGCGTCGCCTGAGTGGCACTGAGTGGAGGCATTCCGGGGGGGCTGGAGCCTTGTGACCAGGGACCCTGCCTCCCCCCCACCCCCCACCCCCCAACACTGGGAAGGGCCTGCGTGTCAGCGATGAGACATGGGGTACGATGTCACCCGCTTCCAGGGGGACGTGGACGAGGACCTGCTCTGCCCGATCTGCGGCGGCGTCCTGGAGGAGCCGGTGCAGGCCCCGCGCTGCGAGCACGCCTTCTGCGGCGCCTGCATCGCGCAGTGGTTCTCGCAGCAGCAGACGTGCCCGGTGGACCGCAGCGCCGTGACGGTGGCCCACCTGGGCCCGGTGCCCCGGATCATGCACAACATGCTGTCCAAGCTGCGGATCGCCTGCGACAACGCCGCCTTCGGCTGCGACGCCGTGGTCCGGCTGGACGGCCTCACGTCTCATCTCAGCGACTGTGAGCACAACCCGCGGCGGCGGCGGCGGCGGCAGGGCGAGCAGGGCGACGGCCTGGAGGGGCCCCGGGAGGAGCTGCCCGCCCGCCACTGCCTCCCGCACCTGCGCGCCCTGGTGCAGCAGCAGCAGGCGCGCCTGGCCCAGCTGGAGAGGGCCTCGGCCGACCACGCGCTCCAGCTGGCCGAGCAGAAGCGAGCCATCCAGCAGCTGAAGGCGCACCTGGCCCCCGACCTGCAGGGAGGCCCGGGGGAGCCCCGGGGGGAGGCCGGCGAGGAGGTCCTGCGGTGGGTGAGCTCCCTGCAGCCGGCCAGGGTGACCCGCTGGGGCGGGATGATCTCCACCCCGGACGCGGGCCTCCAGGCCGCCATGGAGCGCTCCCTGCTGGACAGCGGCTGCCCCGCCCCCGTGGTGGGCGAGCTGATCCAGAACGCCCACGAGCGGAGCTGGCCGCAGGGCCTGGCCACGCTGGAGACCAGGCAGACCAACCGGCGGTGCTACAAGAACTACGTGGCCAAGCGCATCCCCGGCCGGCAGGCCGTGGTGGTGATGGCCTGCGAGAACCGGCACATGGGCGAGGGCATGGTGCGGGAGCCGGGCCTCGTCATGATCTTTTCGCACGGCGTGGAGGAGATGTAGGTCTCTGCGGGCTGCTGTCCGGAGAGCCTGTCAGGTGGGAAAGCCAGAGTCCCTCCTTCGGCCCAATTCCTTCCCCTGCGAGGTCTGTTGAGAAAGTCCCCATCTCGATATCTGGTTTCCTGCTCAGGGTCTCTGGTTGCAGACATTTTCAGGAAGCACAAGCATAGTCACCGTCTCTGAGGGAGGAATCTTGCACCTTCCCCTCCTCCAAAACCAGGGGCCCCGCGCAGGCAGGCCTGTGGACCCTACACCTTGAGAGGGCAGCTTGGGGGAGCCGGCATCCTAAAGGAATAGTAAGGGTGGAATCAAAACCTTAGACACAACGAGCCAATAACTGGCCACCATCGAGATCCTTGGGGAAGACCGGGCCTCCGTGCCAAGCAGCGCCTTATAACCACGAGGTCATAGGTAGATTCCCAACCAGGGCACATGCCTCAGAAGAGGGCGTGCAGGAGGCAGCTGATCCATCAATGATTCTCGCTCATCATTGATGTGTTGATGTTTCCATCTCTCTCTCTCTCGCTCTCCCTTCCTCTCTGAAATCAATAAAAACCCAGGCATATGCCTTTACCGGGAATTGAACCGTGATCTCCTGGTTCTTAGGTTGATGCTCAACCACTGAACCATGCCAGCTGGGCACTAAAAAATACATTAAAGAAAAAAGACTCCACTGGGAGTGGAGTGGAGGGATATCGCCTGAAGGGTGCAGGGAACAGTCATGTTCCAGCCCCAGGACACTGAGCTCAGGAATTTGGAGACGTTGCTATACTTGGTCTGGTTACCACTTTTCTTCCACTCGCCGCGGCCCTGCCTGCCTTATCAAGGCCCTTCCTCGCCTGTCTGCGTCCTCCGAGGAGACAGGAAGCTCAGCTCAGGCTCCCCCTTCCCACGAGCGGCTCTGCAGGTGGCAGGTTGTTACAGGTGCTGCTCCCGGTGCTGACTGCGCCGATAATAAACCTTCCCCTCAGCTCTCCAAATCCTTAATTCAGCATCACTCCCCTTCAGGCGAAGGCTTCTCCTCAGCTCTGATCTTCTTCTCATCTTCACCCCCCCCCCCCTCCTTCCTCACTTGGTCACCTACCCGTGTCTTAAGAGCGAGCCCTTGTTTTGGGAGGCAGTCTGCCTGGGGTTAGTGGGCACCTCACATCTTCTTTGCCCTCAGTACCCTCCCACACCTTCCCTCCTGCCTCCTGCTCTGAGCAGCCAACCCTCGCTCTCCGGGGATCTGAGTTTGGAATTTTTCCAGGGTCTGCCTCTGCCTCGAATTCCACACCTTGTGCTCCTTTCCACCGAAGATATGCACGTACCTCTCCCCCGTGTCCCATCTTTGCTTTGGAATCGGGATTCCATCGCAGGCAGAAAAGTCCCCACCCCACCCGTGCCTCCTAACCGAAGAAGCGAGTGTGACAGATGCCCGGACCCACCGACAACCTGCTGTGCTTGTCAAACCTCGATACACCCTTTGGTAGGCACTTGCTGCCACCTCTTCCCTGTCATGAGAAAAAGGAAATATTCTTTTCCCTGCAAAATAAATATATATTTTAAAACTTCTGCCCTGAAGGTGTGGCTCAATGGTTGAATGTCGGCCTATGAACAAGAAGGTCACAGTTTGATTCTTGGTCAGGGCACATGCCCAGGTTGTGGGCTTAATCCCCAGTAGGGGACATACAGGAGACAGTCAATCAATGATTCTCTCTCATCGTTGATGTTTCTCTCTCTCCCTCTCCCTTCCTTTCAGAAATCAATAAAAAAAATTTTTAATTAAAAAACTTTATTAGCAAAGAAATGGAAATGAAGGTAATTGAATAATACTTTAACTTTTTATTGATCGATTGATTTGAGAGAGAGAGGAAGGGAGCAAGAGAGAAACATTGATTTGTTGTTCCACTTATTTATGCATTCATTGGTTAATTCTTATATATGCCCTGACCAGGGAGCAAACCCACAGCCTTGGTATATCACGATGATGCTCTAACCAAGTGAGCTACCCAGCCAGGGCATATTTTAATTTATTCAATTACCAAATATTTTTTCAGTTATATTTTTTGCTGCTGAGAGTATGAAGAGTTTTCACCCTCTGTTGATAATAGCAATCCTTCTGCAAAGCTATTTGGCAATTTAAATTCAACTGTCCAAAAAAGTTTATGTCCCTTTGTTCCTTCAGTTTTACTTCTGGGATGCTGTTTTCAGGAAATCATTAGACATACATTTTTAAACAATAATGCAAAAAGGTGTTCCTCATCATTTATAACAATAAATAAATTCAAATAATCTAGGTTGCAAAAATAGGAACATAATTAAAGAACTGATTATGTTTCCATATGATGAAATACTATATAGTACTAAAAATAACTTTACAAAGACATTTAGGATTTTAATGGCACATGTTATAAATATTATGGTTATATAATATATAATACAGGTTTATGTATGTAACCTATGTAAATGCATATATAATCAGTGTGTGTGTATATGTGTGTGTGTGTATGACTGAACCAACTACATAATTTGTAGGGCCTAGTACAAAATGAAATCGCAGTACCACTTGTTAAAAAATTATCAATAACACCAAGACAATAATGCAATAGTAGAGCCTCATATCAAGTGTAGGGCCCTTCTGAACATGAGTCCTGTGTGACTATACACATCCCATGCCACTGAAGTTGTCCCTGTTTATAGGAAAAGAGAGAAGGAATACATTCCAAAATGTCAACAGCCATTAACTTTGGGCTTAGGGATTCATGATGATTTTTGTTTCATGCATTTTATCAATTTTCAAAATAGACATATATTTTATCATCAGTGAAAAAAATAGTATGTCTTTTTAAAAAATCCAAAATAATACTGAAAACAGCACTACAGTGAATTGCATTATATTTTGGTTTTAAAGCCTTTTAAATGTGCATTTTGGGCCACTGGGCATAACCGATCATCTTTTTTAAAGATTGTATATTATGTTTTTAAGTCACTGTAAAGACTATCGCAAAATATAAAGATGAAATCAGTTCTTGGCTAAGTGAAGAGAGCAAGCCAAGCTGAACCACAAATACCATATTCCCATCTATTTTTGTCCCATGTTTGGACCCCGAACATTTGCTTGAGTGGTGCAATGCTAAAAATGCCTCCTCCGGTCTCCTTAGACTACATTCATGCACTTGAGTCTGCACCAGCACAGGGCAGGAAGACCTGCAGGAGGCCGATTGCATCCTGAGCACTTACCAGTTCAAGGAAGGATTCAGCAGTACTCTTTTTCCCCCCTCTAAATGGAAGAAAGGTTGCATCTGGAAGACAATGAAAGACTCCTTAAATGGGAGAGCACCGAGTCAAAAAATTACCCAGAGGGTATTTGCAGTGCATTCTCTGTGCTTGTCAAACCTAGACCTTACACAGAGAAGCCTTAGGTTGAGTTAATGACTTATTTCACGTCATTTTGGCACTAATGGGGTACAAGAGTCAAGGCAAATCACTGATCCTTTTAGTGCCCTCGCAGACAATCTGTCTACCAAGGTTTGCCCCCGAAGACCCTTTGGGTGCAGCCTTCACATGTTGGTATCTTCTCTGCTGCACTGACACTCAATTACCTCCTTCCCCTCCCTTCCCCTCCCCCCACACAGCAAAGAGGAGAGTCACACTAATTTTGTGTCTAGTCTGTAAATGTGCACACATTTAAATTTTACTCGTTCAGCCCTAGCTGGTTTGGCTCAGTGGATAAAGCATCAGCCTGTGGACTGACGGGTCCTGGGTTCAATTCCAGTCAAGGGCACATGCCTGGTTGTGGGCTCCATCCCCAGTGGGAGGCGTGCAGAAGGTGGTTGATCAATGCTTCTCTTATCATTGATGTTTCTATCCCTCTCTCCCAATCCCTTTCCTCTCTGAAATCAATAAAAATATATTTAAAAAAATAAAAAAATAAATTTTACTCGTTCAGTGATTACTTGCTAATTTAACAAATTTCATGGCAGCGTCTCTATTTGCCAGGGACCGAGCTAGCTGTTCCTGGGGACAAGCACCCCGCAGTGTAAGCCTGGTCCCTGTCCTATTGGGGCTCGTAGTTTAATAGCGTGCAGTTTACTTTTAAGGAAAAGACCCAAAACAAATTATGAACAAATAATAGCAAATAAAGGTACTATAAGATGTTATTTTTTTTTTGTTAAAAACAAAAGCAAAGCAAAATGTTTAGACAATTTAGTTATAAGCACACTGTACTTTTATTACAATTTGACCACAAGGGAAAGGTTTCTGGCAGACCTAAGGATTCCTTCTTGATAGAAATATTTTATGGGGAAATTTAAAAGGTAATCTTTTTTTAAAGTATATATTTTATTGATTTTTTACAGAGAGGAAGAGAGAGGGATAGAGAGCTAGAAACATCTATGAGAGAGAATCATCAGTCAGCTGCCTCTTGAACACCCCAGCACTGGGGATGTGCCCACAACCAAGGCACATGCCCTTGACCGGAATTGAACCCAGGACCCTTCAGTCTGCAGCTGATACTCTATCCACTGAGCCAAACCGGTTGCGGCAAAAGGTAATCTTTTTTGATTGCATAGAAAAGAATGTTTGTTTAAGGTCACTCAAGTCAGTTACATGGATGGGTGATCCATTGCCCCAAAATAAACCAGTTACAATTCAGAAAACTCCTTATGCATTTCATTAGGAATACTCATTTCTTCCCAGTCCAGGTTTGGGACAATTTTTCCTCTTACAGTATATTTTTAATTTTTTAAATATATTTTTATTGATTTCAGAGAGGAAGGGAGAGGTAGAGAGAGATCATTGATTGGCCGCTCTCTGCACATCCCCTGCTGGAGATCGAACCCGCAACCTGGGCATGTGCCCTTGACCAGAATCAAACCCTGGACCTTTCAGTCCACATGCTGACGCTCTATTACTGAGCCAAACCAGCCAGGGCCCAGGCACTCTTAGTATATTTTTAAAAGACATTTCAATGTACTTTCTCATTTCAGTTTTTAGCTGTGAACACATTCTGTCATCTAGTA